AAATACATAAACTCATTAATATATTCATATTCAGAATATATACATCTCACTATAGTCTACTTAGTCAACAATTCAACATTTCATTGTCAAGCTCTATAGTCTATCCAAAAAAATGACTATCCACATATTCTAGCCAACCACATGATATAGCTAGCTAGCCAAAAAAATAAGCATTAGCCTATCAAACTATCATCATGCTTCTTCACATAACAAAAAGTTAGTGAGATGTGCCCAAAATATATCCAAAATATCTGAAAGTTTAAAAGTTAACAAACATAAGCGCCATACAACATCAAATGATGCTCACACAACCATCCTCTCCAACATCAGTAACACTGGAAAGATCTGAAAAAATATATAAAATATAAATAGTCAATAGCATTACATCACAAATAAAAAAAATACAACTGAAACATATAATAATTCATATAAAATATAAATAGTCAATATCATCATTGTAACACATACCAGTCTTCACCACACCCTCGGTTTCTTGAAAATTATCAAATTCTTGAAGCATGGATGCAAATTCAGAGATGGATTGTCCAGGAAGCAGCCAATTTTGAGCACATATAAGTGCTTCAGTCATCTTTGGTGATAATGAACTCCTATAAGAGTCCACTACACGTCCTCCTGTGCTGAAGGCTGATTCAGAGGCCACTGTAGACACTGGAACAGCCAAGACATCACGTGCCATCATAGAAAGAACCTTGTATTTGCTAGAATTGGCTCTCCACCATGCTAATATATCAAAATCATCATCAACAGGGGTATCATCAGCAGAATTAGATGAAAGATATTTATCTAATTCTGATTGTGGGTCTAATGAGGTTTTTTCTTTTTGAGATGCTAACCACCTGCGACCTGGATCTATACCCCCTTGGCCTTCAAGCATTGAACATGTTGATGATCCTGGAAGTGTAGAAGAAGAAGCATTGCTTGGGGTACTAGTCCCTAGTCCTTTAGAATACTCATCAAACATACGGTACAAGACATCTTTGATCTTAATTTTCATGGCCATGCAAACTTCAAGATCAAGAAAAAGCTGCTCAAATATATGATTCACATAAGCAAGCTTGTACCGAGGATCCAAAATCACTGCTACAATGAGTAAAGGATTCATATTTTCTGTTTGACCCCAATATTTTTCATACTTGCTTCTCATACTTAGGGACATTTCCATAAGCAAAGGATCAACATTCACAATGTTCTCTTCCAACAACTCATGAATAAGAGCAATTTGATGGAAACAAGTGTTAGAAGTAACATTTAGTGAACTTGAAAACATCAAAGTTATGTCATAGAATACCTTCAAAAATTTGAGAAAGACACGTGCCTTGTTCCAATCACTAGCTTTAGGAGGGCCTTCACGCTTAGTGCCTCCAATGAATTGCCCCATATAATCTTCATCTTCATCTTCTAGGCGTTCAAAAGCCTTTTGAAACTTCAAAGCGGATTCCAACATCAAGTAAGTTGAATTCCACCGAGTATTGACATCAAGGCAAACAAGGCTAGTAGTGTCCAATTTCTCCAACTCAGCAACACTTTTAAACTTTTGGAGACGAGCAGGAGAAGAACGAACATATTTAATTGCATTGCGAATTGCATCAAAGCTGTTCTTCAACTCCTTCAACCCATCATTAACCACCAAGTTAAGAATATGTGCACAACATCTCAATTGAAGGTAATCACCCCCACAAACCATGCCCTTCCAATTCCTAAGCCTTCTTTTCAAATAAGACAAAGCCGTGTCATTAGACGATGCATTATCCATTGTTATGGTAAACACCCTCTCAATTCCCCATTCTAATAGACACTTCTCAATTGTCTTTCCAATTGTGTCACCCCTATGATTCTCAATCATGCAGAAATTTAATATCCTCTTGTGCAACTTCCACTCAGGATCAATGAAATGACAAGTAAGGCATAAGTAATTGAAATTTTGAGTAGATGTCCAGCAATCAGTTGTCAAGCAAACACGATTTGCAGACTTCTTCAACACTTGCTTCAATATCTTGATTTCTCCAAGGTATAGTTGCCAACAATCTCTAGCAACTGTTGTTCGCGAAGGGATTCGAAATCTTGGTTCTAGCTCTCTCACAAAATTTCTAAACCCATACTTCTCAACTATCCTGAATGGCATCTCATCACAAATAATAAATTCAGCCAATGCCCTTCTACATCGTTTTTGGTTGAAAACATGAGAGACTAAGCCCCCTCCTTGTCCACTTGGCGTCACGTAGTTCAACATTGATTGCTTTGGTATTGTGGTAGCCTTATGTGGGTTTTTAGGACATTTTGGAAAGTGCCTTTTCAATGATGTTGTCCCATGCTTGTTTGGGTCACAAGCATAAGTTGCATGACAGTATTTGCAAGAAGCTCTAACCTCTCCATTTGTTTCTTCCAAAGGTAACTTTACAAAATGCTCCCAAACTTGTGATTGTTTACTCTTTTTTGCAGGCTCTTTTCTCTTTCTGCTCACATTCTCTGGACCACAATCTTGTGCAAGGTTAGAGGCAGGATCAATAGCTACAAGAGGAGGAGTTGGTGGAGTTGGTCCAATAAGAGGTGGCATTTCATTTTGACTAGAATCAATTAATTGTGATGGCAAGGGTTGGTCAATACTAGCAGATGCAGAAGTTTCGTCCACCATGTTTCTAATATGAAAAACAAGACACAATGTTAACTTATAAAATCACAAACACAAGTATAGAGTCAGACTTTTCTCAAAGAAGTATGACATATACAGAGGCACAGAGCCACTTCTCTGTCATGATCACCAACAAACCAAATCCAACAATTAATATTATAAGCACAGGTAATCTAATTGTTGTAGAAATTTATCTTTAAAATACTGATATAAGGTTCAAATATCAGAATAGCAACCTCACCAAAAATAGAATAAATATCAGATTATATCAACCAAAAATAAGGAATGATCCTCCAAAACCGAAGCCATCTATAGCAAGTTAGCAACAAAAGATCAGTCATCAGTCTATAGCAGCAATAGAAGCGTCTCTCGCCAAAAGGGTGGAAATGTGAACCTTTGAAAATGGCAACAATAGTACATCTCTCACCGTAGCAGCCTCAACGAAAAGCAAACAAAACCAGAAAGAGAGAAGTAACAGAACAGAAGCATGCGAAAATGGAACAGAAATTGTCGAAGAAGCCAGAAACAAAGCAAGAAAAACCAGAAACCAAGCAAGAAAAACCAGAATGCAAAAACAGAGCAACGGAAAAACCATAAAATAGAGCGAGCAAAACTAGAAGAAAAACCATAAAATACGAATACCTTTCAGCTGCATGCTTGAGTGATGTTCTTCTTCATCGGCATGCTTGAGGAAAAACAGAGCAACGGCCGACCAAGGAAAGGCAGAGAGATGAGTGAAACCAGAGAGTTACAGCTAGGGCAACGGGAGAAATGACAAATGAGGTACTGAGCTCAGAGCCTCGGACAGATACTCAGACTTCACGGACCGAATCCGAGGCATGCGTGTGAGGAACTGTAACTGAGGGCGGCGTGAGACGTGAAGGTGAGGCTCAGAGTCAGCGAGTCAGTCTGTCAGCGTGAGATTTTTTCATTTTTTGTGTGTAAATAATATAATTATTTAATATTTAATATTAAAAAAATAACCTGGACCGGGCCAGACTAATTGGTTCAAAAGATCAGTCTCTAGTCTGGTCTAACCCGTATGTGTAGTCTGACCCGTTTAGTCCAGTCTTTTATTCGGGTTGATTTTTTTAAGACCGGGTCAGACCGGGTTGCACCGGGTCAAACCAAACAGACCGGGTTTTAAATTTTTTTGCACAGCCCTAATTTTCACTAAATGAGGGTAGGAACGAGGGAAAGTAAAATTTAGTAAAAATTACATATTAGGCTCCAATTTAATAGACGTTTATTAAAATTTAACGGTAGGATGAAATTAATTAGTTAGGGTTTGAAAAGCACATTTTAAAGGTTTAGAGTTTAAATCACTTCTGAACCTATAATTCAGAGTTTGAATTTTATATCAATTCTAAAAAATATTATAATAAAAATCTATATTTGTAAAGACCATAGGCCGACTATATACTGAATTATTGATTGATATTTTTCTGCAAATATTTTATAATTAATAGATTTTATGGGATTCATAGACCGCAATAATAATACAAGCATTTTTGGTGACCTCGATAAACTTTCCTATATTTATTGGGGGAAATTATTAATTAGCAATCAAGAGAGAAATATCTAAAAGGATGAGAACCAGTAGGACATTCGTCAACACGTAAGGGTAAATTTAATAAAAAAAATTTTATTGACAAAAAATTATATAAAAAACCTCAAAAATTATTGAAAATAATAAAAAAATTACAGAAGACCTAAAAAAATATAAAAAAAATTCTTATATTTTTCTATAATTTGGTTGCTTTTTTATAATTATTTAGTTAATTAACAGTTAAAATTAATACTGATTAATGAATTTAGGGTTATAGACACTCTTGAAAGGATCCAATTTTTTATTTAACCTTGATATTAAATAAATTTTGTTAAAGTATATTTTTAATTTTTTAATTTTATATAAACTTTTAATTTAATTTTTTAATTTTATAAAGTATCTTTTTAATCTTTTAATCCTAACATCATTAGTTTCAAGTGAGTATTTTTTGTATTAATTATTGTTAGTTTAAAAAAAAATTAAACTTAATATATTAATATTTGATAATATTTTATTAATATTTAAAATTTTAATATAAAAATTTATCAAGATAAAATTAATAATGTTAAAATTAAAAAAATTTTAAAAATATTTTATAAAATTAAAAAATTAAAATAAAATATTGTATAAAGTTAAAAGTAAAATATATAATTATTACCATATGTTTTTTTTTTTTCCCGACAAGCTGTTGCACGTGTATTTATATTAAGAAAGACAAAATTTCCTCCGACCCCTAAATGTCGGCACTGAGATTTCTGGAGGATATAGGTGTCATTATAACAAAGCTCAAACCCATTTCCGCCATTCCATTAAAACTCTTTGCTCTTCACACTCACTCACACCCACCTTCTTCCCTCACAGAACAAGCCACAAATGAGAGAGCAGAGGATGCCCTGTACTCTGCCACTGTTACTACTGCGCTTCTCTCTCTAATGGGGACTCGAATCCCTTCGCATAAGCTTAGCGGTGGGCTCTATGTCTCGGGTCCACCTGAGCAGCTCAAGGAGCGACAGCCTACAATGGCGTCACGCGCCGTCCCCTATACTGGCGGCGATATCAAGAAATCCGGTGAGCTCGGAAAAATGTTCGATATTCAACTCGCTGATCCATCTTTGAATGCTTCATCTTCGTCTAAATCTTTGCACGGTAGTGGAGCAGTGCGCTCCGGCGGTGACTCGGGTGCTCCAGGGAGGCGCCGTGGGTCGGGCCCGATGCAGAAGAAGCAATCGTCGGGCCCGTTGTCCCTGCAACCTACGGGGCTCATCACATCGGGTCCAATAGGATCCGGCCCGATTGGACCGTCGGGCGGTGTTGGGAGGAGGTCGGGTCCTATCCCGCAAGCTGGTTCGATCGGGAAGACGGTGTACGGTTCAGCCGTTACGAGTTTGAAAGACGACGAAGTGAAGGTTGGCTTTAGAGTGTCGAAGGCGGTGGTGTGGGTGTCGTTAGTGCTTGTAGCAATGAGCGTGCTTGTTGGGGTGTTTCTGACGGCCGCAATGAAGAAACCGGTGGTTCTGGTGGCTTTAGCGGCAATAATTGTGCTTGTAGTGCTTTTGATTATATGGAATCTCACTTGGAAAAGAAGAGGGCTATTAGGGTTTGTGAAGAATTACCCAGATGCTGAGCTCCGAGGCGCCATTGATGGGCAGTATGTCAAGGTTACCGGGGTAATGTCTCCTTCTATACGTTATGAAAAACCGTACACTTAATAGTATCATCCAAAAGTTATATATCTTAGGAACCTAGTCCATCATAATCCTAAGAATTTAATTCTAGCGGAGGAGAAAATATTCTTCCTTCGATCAGTGAATCATTAATGCGAGAGAATGATCGTAATTGGTTATGTCATGCATTTGAAGTCATGGCTTTGTAAATTGTTTGAGCTGCCTAATTACTTATTTTGTCAAGTCCGCAATGATTAATGCTGATCGTTGGCCTTTTAATGAATAATTATTAAATTAAAAAAAAATTGTTAGGTATGGGTTTGATTGCACCTGAGGAATGGAATTAATTAATGATTGTGACTCCTTTTTTCGTGATTGTCTCTTGTGTTGAATGGCTGTATGCCAGCATGGCTGTCTCACCAACTTATCTTGAAAAAATGGTAATTTTTCGAATGATGTAATCAGGGATTATGCGTTACGGTGTAAAAGGACAGCAAGGGCATAGCTGAGTAAGTCGATTGATTAGGAGTACTTGCTTTTTTTTTTTAATGAATGATTAGGAGTACTTATTATTGCCCAAAAAATTAATGAAATTTTGGCCACCATGACAATCTGAAACTGAGTCTTATCTTTCCTTCTTGCTTTCCCGATTCCTAATGCATTGTCGTGTTTTGTGAGGGCTTTTTTTTACAAGTGAAAGCCATAGAATTTGCTGCTCAGAGCCCCTTGTTTTCCGCTTCACTGTCTCTTCTTTCTGTCTCGTTGCCCAATGCAAGCTTTGGCAATACTTTAGTGTCTAAATTACTCCCTCCAGTCTCATAATCTCTTCTGTCCTTAATACAAGGCAAAGTTAACCAATTTCATGTTTATTAAGAAATACTCCCTCCATGCTTATGTGTGTGATGTTTACTAGAAGCTTATTTTGTTCCTAACTATAAGAAATGTCATGATATTTTTGAGTGATTGAACAATTTTACCCATATTGTCTTGAAAAGGGAAAAAATATTAATTGCATATTTCACCCATCATCATGACATTAATTGTGACATTATTAAGGGTAAAGTTGGAAACTTATTGTAGTTTTATGTTCTTTCAACTAAATAGCAAATTTTTATTGATATGCGGTATATGGATAAAAACACCTTATTTATAGGAATAGATTATTGTCTAGGAATTCAAACCATAATAAATAAATAAGGATAAGCTTGGAAAAAAAATTACTTTAACTTTGTCTTGCATTAAAGACAAAAAAAAAAAAAAAAGCTTTTAAAGTTTGCTTTATATTAAGGACCAGAAGGAGTATTAAGCAAAGAATCTCAAATTATAAAACACTTTGAGGGGAGATTTGATGTTCAAGATATAAGATATTTTGAGAAGATTAAGCTTTCATTAAATAGACTTATTTCAATATTACCCTTTCTCTCTCTATTTAATTTATGTCCATCTCTCCTTTCAATATATTAGATGAAGGGTGTTTTTGAAAGTTTATATTTTTGTTTTGAAAAAATAAAGTTGTTAAGTGTATTTAATGAGATTTATTGGTATGTGAGATTTTGTCTAAAAATGTAGTATTTCACAATGTTTAAGAAAGTTTGTTATTCCTCTTAATTATGTTAATTATGTCAGAGATTAAATCTGTTTTCCTGAAATGCCCCTGATAGGAACATTTAAATTTTGTTCCTTCCTTAAAGATGATAATTTATTGCCTCTATTTCCAACTACTATTTAAAACAATTGGTTTAATTGATCTTAACTAAGGGGTAAGATTGGAAACCTTTATTAACTGCATTAGTTTCTGCACATATCTAAAACCAAGAAATTTTAGTTTTTGCTTATATGAGGGTGGAACATCAATGCCTTTATCAGGCTGCACAGAAAGATATGTCCTGGTCATCGGGGATATTTCAGTTTCTTTTTTTTTTTTCATTTTTATAGACTTACTTGGTAGAAAATTAAAAGAACACTTATGAAAGTTGTTAAATGAGACATTTTAGTTAATAATATTCCTAAAAGCTGGGTTAATGATAAAGTACAATGACGTTATGTAATTCATGTAGCTGATTCCATCTAATAAGATAAGGCTTATTGTTGTTGTTGTATTGTTTGCTCATTGAGCAGGCTCCCAAAGGAGTTTGGTATGTGCAAAGCATAATTGGGATGTTTAATAATTATTATACCTCGTTTTGTTATCCCTTAACAGTAATTCTCTCTTAATGCTACTCCTTTTTTCTTTTTTTTTTCTTTTCCTTAAATTGAGGGGTACAAGGATCGTTTCTCATGTAAAATTACTACTTTTAGTTCCCATTGCATTTTCTCTTTTATTCCATTTCAGTTTTCGTATCAAATGAACAGGCTTTGTTTCTTTCTTTAAGTCAACACTCTAACGTTTTCAACAGGACGATTTTTTTTAAGGCTGATCATGTGACAGAAAGATAAATGCAGCGCTTTTTTAGCATGCTCATTTTTTGGAAAGACATTTGAATTCCTTGTGCAATTTTTCTGTGATAGAGTTGTCTTCATTGATATGATTAACAACTCTAATGAATAAGTCATCTGCCTCTATGAATATTTAATCAGACTGTAATTAGACTGATGATATATCCTGTCTCTTCCTATAGATTGTGACCTGTGGCATTATTCCTTTGGAATCTTCATACCAGAGAGTACCTAGATGTGTATATGTTTCCACAGAATTGTATGAATATAAAGGATGGGGTGGTAAATCAGCAAATGCTAACCACCGATGCTTCTCTTGGGGTTCTAGATATTCTGAGGTTAGTTTTTTGGACTACTGTATAAAATATTTGTCGTTTTGGTGTCATTGTTTATTAAACGAACCCTCTACTACATTGAATCTATGTAGAATGCAATAGAATGTAAAGAAGAATGAAACTGGAAAACTGATTTAATAAATGATAAATGTCCTCAAAGAAAAAAACTTTAGTTAATATTGAATAAAGATTACAAGAATATGATTGATATTCATGTCTGTGGTGCAATGGAAATATATTATCTTTTCATTTCTTTATCCAATTACTCCCCGAGTGTTCATTAAAATTTTAAAGATTGATCAGAAACAAAAATGATAATGAGGAATATGAGATATTTGTATGAAAGATACAGTCTAAGAGCTTAATAAAATCAAAGGAACAATAATGAGATGATGAAGGATTAACATGTTCGTGAGAACCATACAGTTACACAGCCTATTAAAATTAATTAGAATTTCAAGTTCAGGGCAGTTTTCGATTCCCCTCAATTTTTTAGATAGACTAATACTCACTAGCAAGCCTGCATATTGGTTTCCATGATTTTGTTTATGCCCTTGCCGCATCTTGATGAAAAGCTAAAAATGTAAGTTAATAATAGTTTATTGTTTTGGCAATTTCACCGTAGTCCTTACTAATCTATGGCCAAACCATTTTTTTTCCCCGAAACAAATTAGTTTTTTGTGTAATCTGTCCCAGCAAACCAATGGATCAAATATATCCTAAGCTGAAGTCTCAAATGGTGTCCTCTGTTAACCTAGCCCAGTGCATGTTATTGCCAAATCATGGAAAGTGACCTAACGCATTTGATTTACAATTCTTAAAATTATTATAACTATTATGTTGGCATGAACGATTGAAATACTCTGTAAGATGTGAATAATCAACACTAGGAACCAGAAGAAAGATAAAACTATCATCATCAGGATCGCAGCATTTTCTGTCACTTGGAAGTGTCTTTGCCTTACTGAGATTTTGAACTTCATTCATAATTTACCTCTGCTATGCTTATCGATTCATTCTACTTTTTCAGTTAGTGAACATATCTGAATTGCTATGTCCTCTCTAATTGCATGATGATGGTTTTTGGCCTCAACATTATTTACCCATGTTTTGCGTTCTATTCATCTCTCTTCATTGTCAACAATTTAAAAAAAAAAAAAACGGGCAGAAATATGTAGCGGACTTTTACATATCAGATTTCCAATCTGGGCTACGAGCTTTAGTGAAAGCAGGCAATGGTGTTAAGGTTGCTCCGTTTGTGAAACCTGCTGCTGTAGTCGACATAAACAAGGAAAACAGAGAGTTATCTCAAAATTTCTTAGGCTGGCTAGCAGACCGTAAACTCTCTAGTGATGACCGTATAATGCGCCTCAAGGAAGGGTATGCACTGCATCTTTCTGACCTATAATTTCCTTTTCAGGTTGCGTTTCCGTTTTCAATTTCCTAGTGCATTATTTGAATGGCTTCGGGTGTAACTGCTTGTGAATTTCTTTCAAAGTGGGAATTTTGTGAAGTATGCCTGAAGCAGAGAGATACAAGGGGGGAAAAAAGAATGAAAAGAGACCACTCTCCCTATCTATCTATCTATCTATCTATCTAATGTGGATCCCCCACCCCCAATTTACGGTTTCATGGGTTTGGAGAGTGATAAAAGAACGTGGCTAAGCATGGGATTTCATCTCAGCGTTAAATTTCTTTATCTCTATATGTGCTAGGTAAAACCTTTATTCCCATGAAAATATATATTATTTTCCTTTTTTACCCTTAATTCCATTTTACAATGAACACACAGACAAAAAAAAATATAAGTTAATAAATACAAGGGGTAAGATGAGAAAAAATTTTACAAGCATTTAGTTGTTTGTATTTGGACCAAGATTAGTTGGGATAAAATGTAAATATTTATATTTTGAACTAGAAGGTGTACTTCATGTGCTTTTTGAAGTACTTAACCAGTAAATTTTGGGAATGGCAGGTACATCAAAGAAGGGAGCACGGTAAGCGTGATGGGAGTGGTTCGCCGGCATGATAATATGCTCATGATTGTTCCCTCTACGAGCCCTGTACCTATAGCTTGTCAATGGAAGCGATGCCTTCTTCCAATGCATGTGGAAGGCCTTATCTTGTTATGTGAGGATAATCAGGATGCCGATGTCATTCCTGTGTAGTACGCCTCTTCCAAGCGTTTTGTTTTTCATGGGAAATCAGGCTTCGGAATCTGGAAAGTTTATCTGATTGGAAGATGCAAAGCAGAATATGATGATAATGAGGACATGATCATGTCCATGGTTAATATGATGTCCAGATATTTCTGGAGATACATCGAAGTTGACTGTGATGGAAGCTTGAAAATGTCTGTTGCCACGAATTTTCGTCTCTTATGATTTTATAATGTAAATAGGCAAATATATGTTTATATATATATATATATATATATTCTTTCGTTTCAGTTGATTCTAGAAGCAACCGAGTTTTGTCGTTTAATATAAAAATTTCTGACGATGTATGGCGAATATATATTGAGTACGGTGCTATTTGATATGAGCTGTAAAGAATTGAGAGTTTAGTATAATGCCACCACGACGATTGGAAAATCTTGGATGAGTTTTGTCTCTATGCGTGCGTGCGTGCGTATGTGTTTATGTATTGTACGCACGCATGCACGGAGTTTGTGTATATATATTTGATTATGTACAAATGTATTTTTATCGTAGACAATCTCAAGACATGGTATGATATAAAATATGAACTTTTTAAATGAGGATTTAAATATTGATTCATTATATTATGAGGAATTAATATTTTTTACTGGACTTAATTTTTGTTAGTAGGGTGTATGTAAATATATATACACATACAATCACACAAAGGGTGAACCCACCTGACAAAAAACAAAACCCAACTAGAAATATAGGTAACCCCCCCCCCCCCCCCCCCCCCCCCCTCTTAACCGACGAAAAACATCTACTCTCCCTCACACTGCGTGCACGCACACATGTATTATTACAATTTTTTATTATTTATTAAATAAAAATAAACTTATACTATATTAGTTTATAAAAATATTTTTATAATTGTCTCTTTTACCAAAATTTGCACCAACCCATGATGAATATTAAAAAGAGTGAAATTTAGTAATATATATATTGTACATTAGTTTTTTTAGTAGATTGTTTTTTAAAAAAATATTGAATAAATTATATTTTATCTTATATACTTAACGCACATGTTTTCAATTAAATTAAGACATGTATATTATTTATAAATTATTTATTTTATAATAAATTTTCATTATTAATGTAATGTTAACACATTAAAATATACTGGTTTGTAGGAAGATATTAATCCTATGGGGCCTTGAAATGTCCATTATGGGAGAAATATATTGAGTCTTATGTTTTATTAAACTTTGGGATGAAAGTTATTCTTCTAGTCCTCTTTATAAGTTATTTTTACTAATCTCATCCTGATGTAAAAAAAATAAAAGAATTAAAAATGTGCAAAATTTGAAATTTGTCCTTGTATAATAAATCTAAAAAGTAATGTCATGTTACTTTTTTTTTTTCTTATGAAAAATAATTTTAAAAATAATTTTTAAATATTATTTAAAAAGTCGCATCGTGATTTATAAATAAGACTAAATAAACATTCTAAAATGTACCTTATGAATGATACTGGAGGAAGTACCAATTAACCATTTGTTTGGCCTAAAAATATATTTAAGTATCCTCTTTACCTATATATATATATATATATATATACTTGAAATCTGTGATTAGAGGTGGGAAAATGGGTGGACCCGGCCCTTAAGGGCACAAGCCCTTGAGCCTGTTTTTCAAAAAATGATCAATTTTTAAACCCAACCCTTATTTGAAGGGCTAGGGGTAGCTCGTAAGCTCGTTTTATTCTTTAAAAAAATTAAATAATAATAATAATAAATTTAATAAAAAAATAACTATAAATAAAGATATAGAATCTTAATCAAGTTTTAAAATGAAAATAAAAAATTTTAATCCAAATTAACCTTATCAAATTCAATAAATATAAAAATTTTTGTATCATAAAGTACAATATTAATCAAAACTAAAAAATAGACCTTACAAAGTAATCGTGTTTAAGAAATTAATTAAAAAAAATGTCAATATTGTGTTAAAATAGATGGCAAAAGAACCAAGATCAATTTTTTTAACAATATAATACTTAAAAAATCATCTATCCTTTGGGGAACAGGACTTGGAAGGCCATCCAAACAAAAGCCTTTTTTTTTCAAGGCATATCAGGGCTGGGTCTAGAAGCCTGATTTTTCAAAAAATCATCAATTTTTTAAATTGACCTTCTAAGCTCAACCCTTATTCCCGACTCTACCTATGACATAAAATGTTCTCTCCCTCTCCCCTTACTTTATACATTTTCTCTAGTTTTGCCTATTATTAGACATTTTCACACTGTTTAACTCACTTAACCAACAAAATCATGTGAAAATTTCACATTGTCACATATGAAATTTGCCACTTCTTCTGTTGTTATGTTTATTTGTAATTATTATTATCAAATTTAAAAAAATTCACTACTTTTTCTGTAAGATAAAAAAATTATCCTAATATTTTTTCTAAAAAAAATCCACAATCTATAATATTTAATTTTACGTATCAATCAAACCCAACAGCCTACATTATTAATCACCTTTGTAATCATGGATCTCGATTGGCATACACCACAAGATTGACTCCAGAATGGAAGCCGCAGAGAAAGGAGCCGAAAAAGAAGACGGCACCAAAATGTGATAACGAAGCCAGAGGCCATTAAGTTGTAAGGCCGCTTGTGCTTTGCTCTCTCAGCACAAGGAGATTTGAGAAGAAAAGATGCAGATGTTTTGCAAGTTGAAGTCCCACATGAGGGTTTTATGAAAAGGAGGGGAAGGGAAGCCCATGCATTGTTCATGAGATTAAGCATTGCTTTGTCAGTCTTTATTTTTCAGAACCAGAACTGCAATGAAATATAAACTGTCCTCCATTTTCACTGATTTTTCAGTTTTCTGATTGATTTTCGTTTTTGCAAGTTCAAGTTAATTTCCGGATAAGACTAGGTGCTGGTTCGTTGGTTTTCTAGTTAAACTTAGAGCTGGAAAATAGATCAACTTAGATTATGTAGGTTGGAGAAAATATGAGTTAGAGCAGTGGCGGTGCCAGAACATTGGATAAAAAGGTGCAACATTTTTTTAAACTTCAATTGAACATTTTTTTTTTTGAACCCAAACATCTTTAAAATTAGATTAAGAGGTTCAAAATATTTGAATTAAAAGGTACAAAATAATAAAACATATAACCCTCCTTGTAATTTTCTCTAAATTTACGAAGTGCATTTGCCCCCTCTTACATACACATAGCACCGCCCATGGGTTAGAGCAAGTTTTAACTTATTTTCATATGAATTGAAAAAAAAAATTTCAACCCAACCCTCATAGATTAGTGAGTTAAATAGCCACCCACAAACTCCACAAAACAAAGTTTTTTTTTTTTATAGATACATTTAAATGATAAGTTTTAATATGACATTTCATACAACTGAAAAAAAATTCATATCATAAATGAGCGAGATTGATCTACTCTATCATGATTCATTGCAAATCTCCTTGTCATGTGGAGTTTTGGTGCCAAAACTCCTTCCTTTTTTTTTTTTTGTAAATAATATGGTTTAAAGTCAATCTAATCTATCAGGATTAATCCATTTGGTTTACTAGTTATTTGATTCAGGCCAAAATTTGGACCATTTTTACTAACCTGACTCTGATCAACAGGCAATACCCCTAAAACCCAACTATATTCCCAGCTCTAGTTAAAACTGACTGGTATGGTCTAGCCTTTACAATTACAAGAATGCTCTAATTGATATCGAGGTTTAAGTTGCTTGGACAATGAATTCCACATTATAAATTAATAGCATCTTATACCATACCATAGACCGCCTGAGGTGCTCGTGCTACTTTATAGTTCCAACAGAACGAGGGTAACTAACAGAATGTTTTAACTAAAAGCATTTATTATTATTTTTTTTCTGTAACCATTAAAAAAAAAAAAAAAGCATGAGACCAGGTTTATACTAACCAAACCACAGAAGCACATCATGACAGCAAAAGGAAACTAAAGCCTGGAGGGAGTTCCTCCAGCAACCACCAGAGTTTCTCCAGTTATATAAGATGCGTCGTCTGATGCCAAAAAGGCGGCAGCGGCAGCCATGTCTTCTGTCGTGCCAAGCCTTTTCAGCAATGTCTCTTCTTCAAGCTTGTTCCTCTACAATGGCACAAATTCCCATCAAATGACAAATAACAGATTAGGAAACTTGGATGAAGCTATTTAGGGCCTGTTTGGTACAAAGAATGGAAAGAAATAGAAAAGTGAATAAAATGCTAAAACTGATTTTGTAGATATGATATGTCCTTTATGCCTTTAGATGAAAAAAGTAATAAAAAGAGACAGTTAAGTAATGATAATATAGATAGATATTACCAAAGTAATGAAAATTAAACTGGTTATTCAAAGGGAGAATGATAAAGAGGTCTAATTAATTTAAATTAGGTTCCACGTGCCAAACTACAGAAATTTGCAAGTCCATCTCTCAATTTTGCAACTGCATTTTGATGAATTCACAACTTGTTTATCAAATTTTAACTTTGTTGAAAAATAAAAAAAATTATTTTTTCTATTAAAATTTGAAATACAAGTTACATTTATTACAACAAAGTTGCAAAATTGAGAGATTGAGTTGTAAATTCTTAAAATTTAGCACTTGAGACCTAACTTGAATTAATTGATCTTTTTGAGACCTCTTTATGATTCTCCCTTATTAAAATAGTCAAGGAATTGATTTAAGAGTTAATGGTCAAAATTGTAGCCGAACTATGACTAAACCGGCCATAAACAAAATATTTTCTTAAACTGGTCAAAATATTGACTTAACAGTTTATCAGTTCAATTAGACAAGTTGGCTTGGATTTCCATACTATAGATATTACATGCTTGTGCATGGCTACCGAAATATCTTTTTTGTTCGCAGTACTTACAACGACTTCATTATTGGTAAGAGAGGAAGCAAAATGAGTTGGCACAAAACCAGGAGCAACACAGTTAACACGAGTATTTGGGGCCAATTCAGCTGCCAGAGCCTAAACAACGGATTAAAACAAAATTAGCATACAAAAAGTTAAAAAAAAAAAAACTCAAGATTTGATAAAATATTGATGAAACTAATGCAACCAAAGTACCAACTTTTGTAAGTCCAAGAAGGGCCGTTTTGGTCACTCCATACATGGCCATTGAAACTGGTGGGTTATAGCCAGCTATAGAGGAAATAAGAACAACAGAAGAACCCGTCTGCAAGTAAGGAGCGGCATCCTGCATAAAACGCAAAGAAGATAACACATTGTACAATACAAAACAGCAAAAAGTAGTGGCCAAAAGGAATATGCTAAAGCAGATCTTTTTTTTTTCCCTTTCCTTTCATGGTTTTGTTTGGCCTTCTGTCACCGAAATTACCTTCAGAAGAATTATGGAGGCTTTGACATTTACTTCCCACTGCTTGTCAAGGACGGAGTCTTCGGTATGCAATAAGTTATCAACTGAGGGATTTGTAGCAGCATTGGACACAATAACATCTATCTTTCCATATTTCTGTAACAAACCAGAATGTTCATCTACACCTTAGAATGGCATACAAGCGTTTATGAGGATCAATTTATAGAGATTACAAACTTGTATGCACTTAGAGGAGCATAGTATAATTGTCAGTCCAACAAGCAGACAGATAAAGATATAATAAAGAGGAATAATAAAAGGCATCAGAGAATAAACACTAGGGACAAGATGACCAATAATACAATGACAAAATCTGACCTGATTAATTCTTCTGTAAAATACTCATCAGTGCCTAGATTGTAGTAACACACTGACATGTATACTTACACTGAATTGATATGAAGATGAATTTGAGCAGCAGAATTGAAATCAATTTGAGACTTCAATTCGACAAAAATTTTCAATGAATGAACTTTGTGGTTATCAGGTAAATAATCACCTCTACGGTTTTGTCTATCAAATTCTTCCTCTGTTGTGCATTTGAGACGTGGCAAACAAGAGCTAATACTTCAATTCCTTGAGCTCTGAGCTTCTCAGCAGCTTCATCAACATTTTTCTGTAGTCATCAAACCATAGAGGAAATTCTTTCCAGTAATATGAACATCACTGTAGAAGTATCATATGATACCTTTTACAATCATAAGAAGCGTAAAGACAATAAAAGAGATTGGATATTCTATCTACCAATCATCACCAGTATTCCTGCTCAACTTCTCGGCAAAGATAAGTCAACAACTAAGAAACCTTCCGTCTTCAGTAGATATACTAGTTGGAGCAAATCTCGGGAAACTTTCAAAGCAAGTATTGTCAAGTTCTTCAATAGAAAATGAAATGTGGAATTTTTTACAGGTGAACTTCGGATTTGAGCCTTTGCAAAAATTCCCAGAGACAGTAATCAAGTAAAGAAGTTTCAGTTTTGCAGGGTTTCATTCGGTACTATTTCCCTAACGGAGGCAAACAAATTGATCCAAAACCAGTTTCAGTTTTGCAGGAGAAATCCAAACCAATAATCAGTGTTCTATCGATTAAACCCACTAAGCAAGAAATCAGTTTTCCACAAATTCCTCAATCACATAGGCACAACTAACACATCAAATTCAATATTTAATTAAAAAAAAAAAAAAACACACACACACACAACACCAATAGCAAGCTATAGATGTTCACAGGCGGTAAATAATATACGATTTATTTCCTGTATAACTCACGGAGATCAATCAGGACTCCTATTCAGGCAAAGAATACAAACAGATTAACGAAATTTAGGAAGCAAGGCATAATTGAAATCGAAACAATTTTGAAGATTTTATCCTAAAAAGAAAAGAACCAACGAACCTGTCTGCGAGAAGAGATGACGACAGTTGCTCCCTCGAGGCCAAGCCTTTGGGCTATAGCGAAACCGATGCCCTGAGTTGAAGCAGTAACAATAGCTACCTTACCTTGAAATCTCTTCCCGATCTTCGACTTGTCCATTTCTATTTCTTCTATGAACCAAACTGGATTGAGAGAGTGGACTTTGGGAATGGGGGTACCACTTTTTGCTGCACGATTCAGATGGGTTCTTGTCTCATGGACTAATTTGTTGAGTTTTTATTATGTTGTAATATTTGGGACTTGCACCCCAGGGAACTAAGCCGGCTTCGAATAAATTACTAAAATTTCGATGCTATCCGAATCACCACGAAAGCTACACATTATATTGGACTTATTACATGTATGAAGTTAACCGTTTTTATGATAAAGTGGTAGGTTGTTACGAATATTAAAAGAATTCATCTCCCTCACCTCTTCATCTTTATTTTAACTCATAAAACAGAAAGTTAATTACTTTTTTTTCACCTTTATCATATATGTAATATTTGATATGTAAAACTATACTTATAAATAAAGGATGTTATTTGTATTAAAAGGCATAATAACTTATAAAAAATTCTCTCGTTCTCTCTCGTCTTTACTTTTCTTAATATCTTCATTTTTTATTTGTTTAATTTTATAACATGTTATTAGCATAAGAGCTCTTATAATCTAAAGGTTCTATACTAAAGTTTTTCATTGCAAGATAATTTTTATATTTATATATGATTCAATTTATTTTTTAATAATTAGATCCTTTTAATCTTGAACATCATCTAACTCTTATCATCTTTTTATTATAGTATCTATATGTTGAATTTTTTGAAACTTAAGTTTGTAGCTCTTGACATCATTGAGAAAATTATCTACCTTAGGTAATAGATGAGTAAATCCATTTAGATGCCAATGGTCTTGAAGACATAATCAAAAATGACAATCAAGCATCCAATCAAAATAAGGCCAAGGCCATAATTTTTTTTCATCACCATTACACGAAGGGTTGAAAAATAATTATCTGACTATAAGAGACCATCTTGTTCTTTGGAACAGTTTAAAAAAAAGGTATGACCATAAAAAAATGTATTTCTTCCAAAAACTTGTTATGGTTGGATGCACTTATATTTACAAGATTTTAAATCTATGAATGAATATAACTTTGCAATTTTTAGAATCAATTTTCGATTGAAAGTATGTGGAAAAAAGTCATTGATGATGATATGTTAGAAAAAATATTTTTCATATTTCATGCATCCAATATGCTCTTGCCATAGTAATATCATGAAAAAAGTTTTCATAAAAATATTCCAAATTAATTTCTTATCTTTTTATGGTTAACATAATAACGAACTTTTGATAAAAAATCACAAATATCATCCAAGTAGTTCTACCCCATTCCTAGAAGCGAATGCAATGCCAAATAAACTAGCTTAAGGTCATGGCCATGGTTGTGGCCATAGCCGTGGATATGAACGTAGTCGTGGTAGTATATCTTTTTATAAAAAGTGGATAAATAATGAAGAGAAATACAAGAAAGGAACAAGTGGAGATGATGATGATGATGATGATCATAATCATAAAAATAATGAAAATTTGCATTATCATTGTGGTGATAAAGATTATTGGCCACGTACTTATAGTACTCTAAAGCATTTGATTGACTTTTATCAAAAATCATTTAAAAATAAAAATAAAAATAAAGAGGTGAAGACAGAGACACATTTTACTTTTGAAAAAAGTGATTCTAATTATAGTGACATAGATGTCACTCATCTAGATGTTGTTAAATTTTTTGCTAATCCTAATGGAAGAATTGAACATCTAATTTGGAATGGAAATGTCTAGAAATAAATTTCTTAAATTTTAATGTTGTTAAATTTTATAATTAAGTGTCATTTTAATTTTCTTGCATTGGAATAAAGAATTTAGTTATAATTTTTTTAAGAATTTATTTATGATGTTTTTTTTTCAATGAATAAAATGTTAGCATTTCATGTTTTAATTATATATATTTTTGTTTCTTTTAATGAAGAATGAATATTCCTCTGATTGGTACCAATGGCAATAATGGAGAAATGTGTCTTGTTGATAGCGCAATAATTCATACAATATTTAAAAATAAAAAAAATATTTTTCTTCTTCAGTGATGCAAAAAGCCCATGTTCAAACTATATCAAAAAATATAAAGATAATTGATGGCTCTAAAAGAGCTAATGTATTGTTGCCTGGAGGAACAAAATTAACATTGATGGTATATTTTATTCTACTACGGGTAGTAGAAATTTATTGAGTTTTACGGATATTTATAGAAATGAAAATCATGTTGAGACAACAAATAAGAAAATAAATAATATTTTATTATTTTGAATTTAATTTTTGGTAAAAATGCATACCAGAAAAATTACCTACTTTTTCATTTAGCTTGTATTACACATTTATTAATGCAATTGAAATGCATGCTATTGTAAACCAAAAGTTTATAAATGGTAATAAATTCAATGTTGGGCACGATTTATTCAATGTTAAGCCATCTTAGGTCAATTATGATATAAAAAATAATCAAAAAATAATATGGACATTCATTAAAAAGTCAATAGATTTCACAATCTCATGATGTCTCATGTGTTGTATGTTTTAAAGGAAAGTTAATTATTCGACTATTACCGGCAAAAATAGAAAGTGAGTTTCTCACATTTCTAAAATGCATACAAAGTGATATTTGTCGGTCTATACACCCATCGTACGGACCATTTAAGTATTTTATGATTTTCATTGATGCATTGCTAAAATGGTCACATGTTTGCTTATTATCTTCTTATAACCTACTGTTTGCAAAATTGATCGTTCAACTTATTAGATTAAGAGCACACTTTCATAATTATCCTATTTAGAAAATATGTCTAGATAATGTTGGTAATTTTACTTCACAAGCTTTTAATGAATATTATATGTCTCTTAAAATTGATGTTAAACATCCTGTAGCGCATGTTGATACATAAAATGAGCTTGCAGAATCATTGATTAAATGTTTATAATTGATTACATGACCATTACTTATGCGGTCGAATCTCCTAATTTCTACTTTGGAACATGTAATTTTGCATGTAGCATCATTAATTTGTATAAGGCCAACAAGATATCTTGAGAGCTCCCTTTTACAATTGGTTTTTGGTTAGGAACATAATATTTTCCATATAAGAATTTTTAGATGTGCTAAATATGTTCTAATTGCTACACCACAACGTATTAAGATGGGTCCTCAAAGAAGGATTAGAAAATATGTCGCGCATGAATCTCCATCTATAATTAAATATTTAGAACCATCAACATGAGATTTATTTATAGCTCTATTTGTTGATTGTCATTTTGATGAATCAATTTTGCCAACATTAAGGGTAGAAAATAAGCAGTTGAAAAAAGAAATTAGTTAAAATAAATTGCCATTATTTCATCTTGATCCTCATACAAAGTAATGTGAATTAGAAGTTCAAAAGATAATTCATTTATAAAATTTAGCAGATCAATTGCCAAATGTATTTACTGATCGAAAGAAAGTAACTAAATCACATATTTCAACTGTCAATGCTCTAATTAGAATTGATGTTCCTATTAAACAACCTGTTATTGCAAATGATTCTCAAGCATGCATAAAGCACGGTATGCCTATTGATTCCAAAGATAAAAATTCTTGGAAAAGAAAAGGAGTCAAAAACATAAATGGTCAAATCGAGAATAATAAAAAAAAGTTAGTAGTTCATGAAGAGTCACTTAACACTATTAATATTTCAATTCCCGAATAAACTTAGGTACTTGAAAGGGTGTGAAAATAATAAGATCTTAATAAATTATGTTATGAATAGAATATAATAGGACTGGAATGAAGTCAACGTCAATGATATTTTCACATATAATGTAGTACTTGATGTAATAAGTGATAATGAGGATCATGAATGAAAGTGCATTAAGGAATGCAAAAAAAGAGAGGATTGATCAAAATGAAAAGGCACAATTGAGGAAAAACTAAAGTCACTTGAAAAGCGAAAAGTTGTTGGACTTGTAGTCTATAAACCTGAAAGTGTGAAGTCAGTTGAATATAAATGTGTTTTTATGTGAAAAAGAAATGAAAATGGTAAAATTATAAAATATAAGGCATGACTTATAACTTAAGGATTTACACAAAGGCTTAGAATTAATTTTGTTGAAACATACTTACTAGTGATGGATGCAACTACTTTTCAGCATTTGATTAGTCTGGCAATAAGCGAGGGACTTGATTTGAATCTAATAGATGTTATTACAACTTATTTGTATAGCTTACTTGATAGTGACATTTACATGAAACTTCTTAAAGGATTTAAATTGCCAGAAGCATACAATTTAAGTTCTCAAAAAAAGTTAAATAAATATTTATATGGATTGAAACAATCAAGGCATATGTGGTATAATCGATTGGTAAATATTTGTTAAAAGAATGATAAAAAAGGTCTAATTTGCCCTTGTATTTTTATGAAAAGATCTAAAAAAGAGTTTGCTATAATTGTTGTTTATGTTGATGACATAAATATTATTTGAACATCTGAGGAGCTTTTGAAAGCTATAAATTACTTAAAGAAAGAATTTGAAATAAAAGACTTGGAAAAACAAATTTTTTCTTGGATTACAAATGAAATATGTAAATAATGAGATTTTTCTATATCAAGAAACTTACACAAGAAAGGTCATAAAATGATTTTATATGGATAAACCACATCCATTATGTATCTAAATGGTTGTAAAATCATTGAAGGTAGATAAAGATCCTTTTATACCTCAAAAAAGTGATAAAAAAACTATTTGGTCCAAAAGTACCACATTCTAGTGCAATCGAAGCACTATTGTATCTTGTTAGTCACACACGATCTAATATCTCATTTGTTATTAACTTATTAGTAAGATACAATTCTTTACCAATACAAAGACATTGGAATGGAGTTAAGCACATTTTTCATTGCCTTAAGGTACTATAGATATGGAATTATTCTATTCCCAATTACCTATAGCTGACCTTATTGGTTATGTAGATGTTGGTTTTTTGTCTTATCCTCATGTCGGTAGATTACAGACAGGTTATTTATTCATATGTGGTGGTACAGCCATTTCATGGTGATCTATGAAGCAGACAATATCACCCACATCATTTAATCAAGAAGAAATTCTAACTGTACATGAAGCAAGTTGAGAATGTGTGTGGTTAAAATCACTAATCCACATGAACAAACTGTGGCATGTCTTCTAACAAAATGATCTCGACAATCATATATAAAGATAATACTACTTTTATTGCCCAATTGAAAGAAAGGTGCATTAAAAGAGATAGAATGAAACATATTTCACTAAAAAAAATTTCACTCAGATCTTCAAAAGAATGGTGAAATTAATATCCAACAAATTTGTTTCAAAAAAAATCTAGCTAATATGTTCACCACATCATTTCCTATTAAAATATTTGAAAAGCTTGTTTATGATATTAGACTTCACAAACTCAAAGATATCAATTGATGCTATCAATAAGGGGAGTTACTATGCACTGTACTCTTTTCCTTTGTCTAAGGTTTTTCTTTTTCCTTTGAGTTTTTCTAGCAAGATTCTTAACGAGGCAGCATTAAATGTCGTATAAATGAATGATATACTATTTTCTTTTGCTAGGTCTTTTTCCCATAAGGTTTTTTCTAGTTGAAATTGTTAATGAGGCATATTATGATATGGACATTCAAGGAGGAGTACTATGAATATTAAAAGGAAAGTGAATGTTCATCTTCGTCTTCATCTTAATCCATGAAACTTTCACCATCATAAGAGTTAATTATCTTTTATTTGCCTTTATTATTTGTGTAACTTTTAATGTGTAAGATCATGCATATAAATGAGGCATGTTATATGAATCGAAAGGCATGATAATCTCAAAGAAATTCTCTCATTCTCTTATCACTACTTCTCTCAATATCTTTATTTTTTAGTTGCTTAGTTTTATAACATAGCTGATATTTTTAAATTTATAAAAAAATTGTGACTTTTTAATTTCAATTCTATCATTTCCTGAAATTAACAATTAATGACTAATGAGTACAATAAAATGTTGTCTAGAAATTATTCAACACTTCAAATTATTGAAATGTTATGAAAGGATTAGGATACTTCATCTATCCTAATTTATAAAATATTTTTAGATATAATTACATATATCAATAAAATATGTATTAAATATACTTTACAACTTTTGTTTGAAAAAACATAAACTTTTAAAAATATCCTTAATTTAATATTGCATTTGTTAAAAAAAATACTAAAGATAGAGAATATAAGGGGAAGGTTAATGCTAGAAAAGCATTATTAATGAAATATTATATATTTTTATCAAAGTGTCTTTTATTTTATGACATCAAATTTCTCAAAAAAAGATCTTATAAATTAGGATGAATGTAATATTTATTTACAATTAACAAATTTATAATTGTTGATATAGTCAAAGTTATTTATGAATTCAAGAAAAAGTCAATGCTGAACTTAAATAATGTCAGTTGTGTAACATTTCAATTTTTAGGAATTGATTTATTAAGAAAATTAAAGGTAATAAGCACTTATTAACATTCATTTAAATTTATGAAATTAATCTATGGTAATTAGAATTGGGTTAAATGGCAATTTAGACTCTAAACTATAAGTTTAGAAGTGTTTGCTATCTTAAATTTATTTTAGTATAATGTTTCTCTTTAACTTTTGAAAACATATAAAGTTGCTCTTACTCTTAATAACAATTAACTTTTTAAAAATGATAAATAAAAATTATAGAAAATGACCCGCAAAATTACAAACAAAGACTCAAAAAATTACATAAAAAGATTCAAAAAATTTTTTTGATCATTTTCTCTAATTTTTAAGGCCATTTTTTATAATTTTTTAAACAACTAATGGTTAAAGTTAATATTTATCAATGATAAGGGTCATATTGCATGGTTTTGAAGTGTTGAACAAAAATATTGCACTGAAAAGAATTTAGGCCCTAGACAATCATGAACTTATAGCTTAGACTCTAAATTGTCATTTAAAGAGCACGGTGGGATGTGAATAAAAAGGAAGAATAGATTTTGCACATAGTCACGCTCTTTTTTATCACTTTCGTTTTAAACAAATTAACGTCGATCCTATCTATTTGATATTTTAAAGTAATATTGATTCGGGTGAAGGAAATGGGGTCAAATTTTCTTCTAAAGGAGAAGATCAACATTACCCTGATTAAGTTTTCTACCTGCATCAAATTAAAAGTTACATGCAGACACATACACAGACATATATATGAGCGTATGAAGTAGAGATTATGGCTAAACACCAATTGTCTTGTTGAGTAGCGAAAGGCAGAGCGCTAGCTGAATGGCAAAAATGGAATGAAGCCACATTCTATCAAGCATGAATCCAAACATTGTGATTCCTGCTCTGTTGTTTTCCATGTACACCACTGCATCCATTCATATTCACAAATCAACAAAAAAAAATTGCACCATCAAAACTCAAAATGCAAGATGATTTTTTTTTTTTGGTTAAAAGGTAATTTTACTATTAAACTATAGGACCATGAACATTTTAAGACTCTAAGTTCATTTTTGGTGCAAGTTTACCTTCAACATTTGAGAACAATGCAATGTTATCTTTACCCTTAATAGAAATTAATAGTTAGTTGATTATAAAATCACAAAAAAAAAGACCTAAAAATTATAGAGAAAAACTTATAAATTACAAATAAGTACCATATAAAAAATTTATAATTTCTTTAGTCCATTTTTTCAAAGTTTTGAGGTCTTTTTTTGGTAATTTTTGCTATTGTTTTCTGTAATTTTTTGATCAACTATAATTAAAATTAACATTTATTAATAATAAAGGCAATGTAATATCATTTTCAAATCTTTTTCTTTTTTTTTTTTTTTTCATTAGAGGGCCATATACTAAAAGCCATTATAAGTAGGATTGAACCCTCCAACTTTCACTTACAAGCCACTCAACCCTTTTCTTCCCATAGTAATGCTACAGAGCTATGAGAGACAGGATGGGACCTTCTGTTCATATGAATGTCCATGGAAAGAGAGTAGGGGAGAGGCGTGTGGGTGCAGTCTCTCATGTCAAGCTTGGCCCACCATAAACCTCTCTTTCTCTGATCACTTTTATACATTTCTATTATTTATGCACATCCTAATTTTTTTCCTTGAAGTTTCAATTGTAAAATATTCTTGATATGTTTTAAGGGTTCTTATTTGTCATTCTACTTTTTCCTTTCTACCTATCTTTTAGAACACTTCATGCAATAAATAAAGAGCATAACTTCTTTGTAGATCACTTCTTATATATCATCTGTAGATTAACTACTAGGTTCTATTTTTGGTTATAAATTCAACATCAGAACATCACTTCTCTCTGTATATAAAGATATAGAAACACGCACACACGTGCCCACGCATATATGTTGATCCAATGTGATCTACTCTACATAGAAACCTCGAATTCAATGACTTACCTAAAGCTTGCCTCTTGTGAAATGAGATGGTACGTGTGAAAATAGGAAGCAATTTGGTGTTATCTAACTCATCCTCCTCGTCTCCAACCTCTTCATCTGATCCCCAAGTAGCAGTGTTTGATGTAGCAAAAGCTTGAGTTGAAGCTTCAACTTGCTGTGTCTCTCCATTATTATTATCAATGTTGTCAAATGAGTTTATGGTGCAAAACATGTGCCACTTTGCTGCAAGGCTTGCAACAGATTGTGCTTTATGTGTTATCTTCGTGGCACTTCTCAGCATTATGAAAAGCCCACTCACCAGAGTAACTGAGACTAACTGCATGCAATATTTTTTCATGACACAAACAAAAATAGAGCTACATTACAAGGTATGTTTTTTTTAGAAGTCTAGTTTGATTCAAAATATAAATCTTTGAGTAAGTTTTATATATATTTTTTGATTACATTCTTACTTTATTATATTCCACTCAAGTAATTAATAATGATATTTTGAAAATGTTATATTTATTCCATTCAAGTGCATGATTAGAAAGGTATAAAATTTTACAGAAAAATCAAAATTTTAACTAATTTTTTAAAAATAAATTAACTAATAATGACTTATATAATTGTTTGAATAATAACCATTTCAACAAAAATAGAAAATTCATACATAGGTTTCAATTTGCAAATGTTTGATTACCCCTTGGGGAAAAAAGATGAATGCCCAATGAGCATGGTACAACCTAGCTAGTCTCTTTCGTCAAGGCTTGACTAGGCCCAAAAACAATTGCCAAGTTGGCCCCAAACGAGGTTAAGCCACAATATATGTATTTTCATAAAGATATTTTCGTCCAATTTTTTTAAAAAAATTAAGATATGTTTACTAAATTTTAAAAAAGAGTATTTTCATATATGAAAATATTTTTCTTGATAATTAAAATATTTTAATTTTTTAAAAAATTGCTAGAGAATAGTTTTAGAATTGTACATCAAAGATTAAAAAGAAAAAAGAAAAAATGACTTATATCAATGAACCAAAAAAATCTTTTAAAATGTGACTAATAATAAAAAATCAGAGGTATTGCTCTAAATTTTTATTAAAAAATGATAATAAAATCTTTCTAAAATATATATAACAATTCGGTCCCTTGAATGCCATAATTTTCTTAAAGGCCATAAATATTTTTTATCATTAATAAATTTATATAAATTATCAAATTATCTTTATTGAAAATAAATAATTCATAACTTTTTTTCTTTTATTTGTAACTTTTATTTTCATATTCATAACAATATAACAACAAATAATAAATTTAACATGTAAAGTTATGAGTTACTATTGCATTATTACGAACTTAAGAAAAAAAGTTATAAATATAAAAAAAAAGTTGTGAATCATTTATTTTCAACAAAGACAATTTGATAATTTATATAAAATTGCCATTTATCTATTTTAAATGAATTTTATCATCATTTTCTCAATTTTCGTTAGGGTGCTCATTGCACTTCTTCAAAAATACCTTTAAAACAAAAATGCATTTTAACCTAAGCTAAATGCATTTTAACCTAAGCTAAATGCCAACAAAATGCATTTTAACTTGAGAAATTAAAAAAATAGTAATTTTAAGAACTACAAAAATCAACCTATTCGTCAGTTTAAGTATATTTGTAAGAATTTTAATATCAAAGACCCTTGATTATTATAATTAATTTAATTTTAAACTATGAATCATTCATTATTACTCGTGGACCTTTTAATTACTTGACCTAGACCCAATGATTAAAACTAAAACTAACTAGACAGATACAAGTTTTGATTGAGAAAACTAGTGCTTACGACAAGCTCGCCGGCTTTAAGTATATCAACATCAGCACCAGTTTTTGTAGTGAGGAGCAGAAAAATGAGTTGGCTGGCAGTGACCAAAATCAGAGAAGCCAAGATGAATCCTCTGAAACGATGACTGATGATGCTCAAGTTTCTTCTCATGGTCAGATGTTCCACAAGTATGGACCCAACTTCTGTTTCTTTTTGAAACACTTGAGCGAAGTCTTCTAACCTCAGAATTTGAAGGTGGCATATGAGACGAAAGAGGACACATACTAGAAAGAATATTGAGGTTCGATATAGCCATGAAAGTAACTCTATCATGCACAGTGTGATGTTGCTAATGTAAATATCACCATAATATGGTATTTCATGTGAGCCTGTGCTGTACCACCATATTTTGTACCCACATTCTGCTAGGAAACAAGGTAGCCCCCAAATCAATATCAGCTTCATGGTTTTCTGCAGCCATTGCACGAGTTGGGATTAGTGACGGATTCAGAAATTTTAGGTCATGGAAGTAATGTAAATAACTAAATATGATCCTTCATATCTTTATTACAAAACAGTTCTAATTAATTCGGTAAAAGATGTGATTAAGTCATTATTTTATTTGAAAATAGAATAAACTTTTATTATCATCTCTATTTAAATGAAAAATTTTAAATTTGTATTATAATTTGTCTTATAGTTAATAAGTTTAAATAATTTTTAATTTTAGTATTATAGAATTCTTTTTGGGCCCTTAATGATCGGCTGTTTTTATTAATTATGAAGTTATTATTATTATTTTTTAAAATTGGATCAAATTTTCTAGTTCAACTGGTCAAATCAATCTTGAAGTGGTCAAAACCAATAGAACAAGTGGGTAAACTAGTTGAACAAGTTTATTATTTATTATTTTTTAAATTTTAATTCATATTTATAAACTATAATACGCACACCTAGTAAGCATTGAAAAAAAATAAAAAAAATAAATTGTATAAATTATATATATAAATATATATATATATTCATGCAAAAAAATTACATTTATACATATAAATATTTTGAAATTATAAATTATAAATTATAAAATAACTATCCATATTTTGAATGAAAATGATGAAATATTAATTGATATTACATTTTTTTATCCTATATTATTTTGTTTAAAATTTATTTTTTATCTCCACCTAGTAAGATAAAGGCTTGTTGTTGTTGTTATATGATTATTTTTTGTCTTAAATATATATTATTTAAAATATATTAATTTATTTAAAATTTATTACGTCACTTCAAATCACATTTCAATCATTCAACTGTGACAAGTTAAATGATTAGTTTAAGGACCAGTTCAAGGCTTTAAATGTATTGTTATTCTTCTAAATCAGTTGTCAATAGATGTGAAAATAATTAATTATATGGAGTGGGGTCAATTTTCGCTATCTTTTTTCCTTGATCTATCTTCGCTTATCCTAGTTTCTGTACGTATTATTATCACTTAGATTCAAAGAGCAATCTAATTGTACTGTGTGTGGGAATGAAGCATTTTCTCACAAGACTATTCCTATCTCTGCTTTCTTGAAAAACACAGTAAAATTTTCCCAAATCTTTCCTCTCTTATCTGTGGTGTTTTCTGCTATGTATTATCTACTGTATTCAAATTAAACTGTGTGTGGAATTGAGGTATTTTCCCAGTAGACATAAACTGGTTCGTTCTTATTCATCCAGAAGAAGATTCCAGAAGCAACGAGATCAAAAAGATTTCCCAGAATAACACTCAGAGTTCAGAGAGACACAAACCTGAAGCTGTTCGGCGTAGCCACGCCGTATCTTCGGACTCTCGTCGCCGACTTTATCGATGGAGAGAAACTTCCGGATTCCATACTTTCGATCCCAACGAGAAAGGCTGAGAAACGAGAGCGTCGCCAAGACGGAGAGAGAAATCTGAACTGGTATATGATAGGGACGAGTGTGATCGGCGTCGCAGGTGGAGGAACAAGCTAAGAGAAAGTGGGAGAGAAGAGGAACGGCGAAGGCCAAGAAGAAGAAGAGAGACCAAGAGAGAGCCGCTCTGCAAATGTTGGATTGATCCACATAAATCCATCGAAGGTATGATCTGAAACTTCGCATTTCAACTCCATCGTGAGGTAAGTACGAGCCAGGAGAAGACGAAGAAGAAATCGCCTTTTTGTTTGGGAGATTATGATAATTAGTTGATGTTTCTGTTTGATTTTCCATGGAAAATTGAACTGTTTTTCTCTGCGTTCGTTTCGCAGGAGCCAGAAAGCTTGGTGTGACCAGAGGACGTGGCTCTGCTTCAAACAGGACAGTGTGAAGGCAGCAGCCGTTCAGCTCGCTTTATATGTCACTCTTGCAAGGTTTTATAATTGTTTTAAATTTAAATCAGGGGATTTTTTTTTCCCTAGTCTCAAGTTTTTTATATTTGGTCTCAAAATTGAATGAATTTTCATCTTCACCGGTATACATCTAATAATACTATCAATTCAAAAAATCGGGTACTCTTTCTATCCTTTGATAATTCAATAAGGTTATAAGGGTATTTCTAGACAAAAGTATTAAATACTAAAAAAAGACATGCAACATGATTATATTTAGAATTATAATTCTTTTAAAAACGTGACTTATATTCAGAATATGGGGGATAAGAAGAGAGCTGGTTTCATATATCTCACTCCTTTTTCAATAAAGCTAACCCAAGTGTGATGAGTGATGATCGATGACCAGTTAAACTGTCACGCTACTTTCAACATTATGATAAAAACTTATTTGTTAGATTCTAGCGTCAATTATTAAATTTCATTCAATTCTAAAAACAAGTTGAGATAATTTTAAAATATTTTTTAATTTATGTAATTTTTTTTATTATGCACTTGTGTTTTCTTATTAAAAGTAATCATATTTAAAATATAGTTAAGTACTTAATATATATATATATATATATATATATCTCTCTCTCTCTCTCTCTCTCTCTCTCACTCTCTCTTTCTTACAAAAATTTAAATTTTGATTTACATGTTATGACAAACTAGCAAGACCGTGTGACAAAATCATTAACACATCCTATCAAATTTAATTGATACGATCAGATGGGTATTACCTAGGATTAAGCCTAGTAAATTGGCTGGAGCAACCACTGCTTTAGTTTTAATTTTCACAAGGAAAATGTTCTTCTAAATCATTAAAATTATAATTATTACACGCACACACATATATGTGTGTGTTAGCGTGTGTAAACAAGACCAAACATGCCAACATAATCAAGCCGTAACCATCTAGTGTTTTGATAGAGCTGATAATATAAGTCAACTCACAATGCAGTAGGTTGCAGGTTTAGTGGGATAGGTTGGCATGGCTTGCATTCTTCATGGATTGAATTTTGCCAACACGCATAACTCGCAGTGGGTTGTTGGGTTAGTGGGCCAATCCACAAGTAAAATTTTTTTTATAATTTTTAAAATTATAAATTTATCTCTTTTTATTATTTTTTTAAGGTAAAAAAATCATTTATTCCCTTTAAAAATGAATTATTGAAATAAAAATAAGAGTCTTTCTACTTAAAATATATTTCTATCACCACTTAAATATAAACTAATTTAATTTTATGATCATTTCATTCTTTAATATTTTATATGACTAATTAGTATTATACATATAAGAATTAATATAAATGCTCTGTCTATCCCATTTTTTCATCATCCTGTTTTGGTGTTTTTGTTACAATATTGATGCCCCAATTTAAAATGCCAATTTTTTAAAAGAAAATGATGATAATTTAAACTCTAACTATTATATAATAATATAATATATGGTTAGCACTTCATAAATATGTTTAATTTTTATTTGCTAACTTAGGTAGCATTATTTTGCAAACAAGATAATTTAAATAAATTATTATATGAATGAAGCAAAGTATAATAAAATATTTTATTCAATATTGTCTTAATCACATTCAAATTATATTATATTATTACTTAAATACATAAGCAGTGTGTTTTTATTGTTTTCTGCCATAATTTAAACTTGAATTAAATAAATATAAAATTATTAAGTACTTAGATTACAATTCCATGCATGCTTGTTTAAATTCTTTATTTTAAAATTAACCTTATTTATTTATTTATTTTGTTTATTTTTTTAAAAATATAAGGGGGCGGGTTAGCCAGCTGTGGGTTCAAGTTATGCAAGGCGAGCCAAAATTTTCCTACATATAATTAAACCCATTTTCTTTAATCTTTTTGTAAGTTGGTGGATTGAGCCCACAAGTTCAACCCATATTACCAGCTCTATATCTTGACCCCACAATGTTTTGTGATTGCAAAACACAAAGTTGTTTATAAGAAGGTGCTTGAAAATGGATTAGACATGTTGCTGAATGTGCAAAAACTAGTTTAGCTTAGGTCTTTTATTTTTGAAAAATATTAATGATTTGATTTTTATAATTTTGATTTAGTTATAACTAAATTCCTAAATATTGACTTGTTATAATTTAATTCCTCAACTTTGCCTCTTACAATTTAGTTCTTATAGATTCAACCACTCAATATTAGTCCTTATATTTTAAAAAATAAAATTATAAAGATTAAAATATGTTAACATTTATTACTAATTTTTTAAATTACTAAACCCTTTTAATCTCTATAAACATTAGAAATATTAAAAGTTTAAAATATTTTTAATCTTTATAATTTTATTTTTTAAAATACAAAGATCAATATTTAAGTGGTTAAAATTACAGAGATTAAATTGTAAGAGATAAAATTTAGAGACTGAGTTACAATAAAGTTAAAATTATAAAATTGAATTATAATAAGTCGAAGTTTAATAATTGAGTTACAACTGTATAAAAATTATAAGAATCAAATAATTAATTTTTCTTTTACTTTTTGAACAAAATTAGCTTGACATGCTTACAAGGTTCAGGTACTCTCTCCATTTTTATATATAAGAAAAACTATCATTTATTATTTTATTTTTATTTATAAACAAAATCATATATCTCAATAAATATTTGTTATAATTTTCCTAAATTACTTATTATGAACTCATAATTTTCATTCACAAAAAAACAATTAATGCAGCCTTGTTTTGATTAAATACAATGGTATTTTAATTATTTGTTATTTTTAGATATAATTATTATAATTAACTAATTTTTAAGTTTATGATATAATTATTTTCTCTTACATATAAAAATAATTGGAGTATCATTTTGTAAGACATACTTCCACCTTCCTGCCTCTATTATGAGGTACTTCTAATTACTCTACTGAAATTAAGGAAAAATAATTAAATCATTAATTTTGTTTAAAAATAGAATAAATTTTGACCTTATTTCAATTTAAATGAAATTTTTTTAAATTTATATTATATTCTCTGTTATGATTAATGAGTTTAAATTAGTAAGCAATACCATGTGAGTTACATTAAAAATCAAAAATTAAAAAACTATTTTTTCCCTAAAAAAACCCGATAATAACAACCGGAATAGTGTGCAATATTAATATCCTAAAAATATCCCTCTTTTAGGGGGCTCAATCACGGGCACAAGTATCAGCACTTATAACACAACGATCGGCAACAAGTCAGACGGAGCATGAATAAAGGGCTGGGAGCAATGTGATACGTGTAAAAAAGTGACAACACAACGCTGAGGGTTGGGGCATTGTGGGACCCGCCTCCTTCAAGTGGCTATCAATTGGCCTTCGTTACTCTTTCAATCAATTCACTACCCTCTTACTTGTCGGTTCTTTATTAAAGTTATCAGACGAAACATTAAACGATGGCCAGATATATAGATTAACAAAATAAAAGCTTACAATAGTTAAGGAACGAAAATGAGACAATGATCATGATCAGCTCTCACTTGCATGAATCCCTGGAAAAATTCCAAGGGTTGTGCTGAATAGGCTACTGCATATAGAACATAGCAACCACCATCTGATTTATTAAAAAAAAAAGGCACCAATTAAAATTAATGTAAATGATAGACAGGTGATTAAGACTTCGAACCTCAACCCTCATGTATTATGTAATTTAGTTGGGAGTGATAATATCTCAAGAGAGATATTCTTTTTTATTGTTGGCGGAGCTTACTCCTTGCCATGTACTCAATAAACACTCAAGACAAATATGCATTAAAAACACGCTAAAGTTATTAGTGAATTCAGAAAAGCCAGTCACAGAGACGTGAGGGAAATTCCAGAAAAGAAGGTTCAAAGGGAAGGGAAATCACAAGAAGAAAAAAAAAAAAAAGAGTACTCCTTTTGGTCCTATTTATAGGACAGAGAAAAAAAATTTTTTTGATCTTATTTATAAATCAAGTCATTAAATTTTTATCACAAAGTTTCTCTTTTACTCTTTACTGAATATTAGAGAAAAAATATGTTTTTAAAATATGTATATTTAACAGAGGCAATATTGAGAATTTATTAAATTTTAAAATAGAGTTAATGAATTTTAAGATTTTTTTAATATTAATAAAATATATTAAAAATAATTTATAAATAAAATTAGAGGAGTATAATCACAAAATCTACACCTCCACTGGCCCATAACACATATCTTTATATTGACAAATTCCTCATGAAGCCCCTAGCCCAATTTCCACAATTTTCTTGGCATCCAAGCCCATATTAAAAAGAAAAGTCACAAAATCTCATTCATTGAACACTGCAAGCAATAAAAACTAAAAAAAAAAAACATTTCAAAATAGTAAATATTTTAGAAAAAAATAAAAATACAGCTCACTCCATCTCAAATTATAAGATAATTTAAAGTAAGATTATACATAATAATAAAGCTTAATAATAACACTTTATAAGCTTATTTTTTTAAAATAAAAATAGAAATTTATAAAAATATTTTTTATTTAATTTTCTCTTCATGTAAAGAATAATATTAAAAATATTATTAATTAAATTTTATTTTTATTAAATTTTTTTATATTTTAAAATAATAAAATATTTTTAAAATTATTTTATAATTTAAAATGGAAGTAGCAGTGTAAGATGGTAAGATCCTTGGAAAGAAAACGAAAAAGGAAGACTGTTGACACTGCTGTTTGGGCCCAATAATTACTGAACAATGCTCTGATCTTCCGTCGTTTCTCTTTTCGTGGAACGGACAATGTATTGGTTCTAACCCTCAACGGCGCCTGTCTTGTTCCACCTAAGCGTTGTTCTAGTGTTGGATATTACTATTAGGTTTCTTGTTTCATAGTGTCCTATTTATAACTATTGGGGTCATAGGACTGCACAATAGATGGGATAAGAGTGTACTTTGGCTTAATTCAAAATTTTATCTCTTTTATAAAAAAAAATTAGATTAGCCAACTCATAATTTAATTTGATCCAACTATAATTCAAAGATTAATAAGACTGAATTTGATTCATAGAATTAAAAGATTAATCCTGTTAATTTAATACTCATTTAACTTTTTTTTATATGAAAAGTAACAATTCGTTTCATCCTGATAAACTCAATTAAGATAATAAAAATATTTCTAATCATAAAAAAATCTATAACAGTTGCTAACAGCTACAACAATAAAAATATTTTAGTTACAATACAAATGATTCAAATTTATAACTTTAACAACAATAATATCAACATTTAACAAAATTCAGCAACACATCTAATATACATTACAATAATAATTTAACAACAAACTAAATTAAAATTATATTAAATAGAAGGATGAAATATAAATAAAGGAAATATTGCGTTCAAATTTCAAAATATTCAAATATGTTAAAAATAATTAAAATTATATTAAAATAATTTTATAGAATTTGATCAGACCAAGTGGTTTGAAAATTTGGTCTCTTGTCTTGTTCAACCCGAAATATTAGTTTGGTCTCTTCAATCTTTTGGATCAATTTTTTAGATCAGACTGGATTTGTTTAGGTTGAATTGGGTTGGACGGATAATCATATTTTTATATAGCCCTAATTGGGGAGAATAACAAATAAGGATTTTTGAAAGATATCAAGGACTTTTTATAACTGAAATGTTAAGAATTTACAACTGAGACATAAGAATTTACAGCCCAAATGCTTTTATTTTGTATTAATTTCCTTACATAGTCTTCAATTGTCATTCTCCTTAATTTTGCCAGGTTATTAGGTCATGTTTGATATGATAAATCCCCTTTGAGAAAAATTGAAATAGATAAAAGAAGAGAATTTAAAAAAAAAATCTTTTTTTTTATTTCCCTTTTTTCCCTTATTGGATCTACCATCAATCAGCCAAACATACGAAACATGACCTTGTTAACGTGGTACCTGCACCTAATGAGGTTGGGGGGGTGGGGGAATGCCGTAACTTAGTAGTATAATTTTAGAAGCTAACACATAAAACATAAAAAAATTATAATAAGATGAAAACGCACATTTAATCAATAACGTTATATAAGTTTTCATTATAATATCTTAATTTTATAAAGTATCCTTTTAATTCTTTAATTTTAATACTCTTAATTTTAAATGATGATTTTTTACTAACAATTATTGTATTTAAACATTAAATTTAATATGTTAATATTTAAGAATATTTTATTAATATTTATAATCTTAATTTTGGTATTTTTGTTAATGAGACCCATAATGTTAGAATTAAAAAACTGAATTTTTTTATAAATTAAAGAGATTAAAATAAAATTTTATGTTAAATTAAAAGTTCAAAACACACATTAAAGAAACAATAGATGTAAGATATTGTTATTATTGCTGCCGTTTGTGGTCGATAATCTTCTTGGTGGTTTGGGATCGGGAGCATATTCCTGTTGTTCTTTATCTTTACGCCAGACTCTGAACTTTCAGCAATTGGCCCCTAGTCCAGAGCATATTTTAATTTTAATTATTATATAACAAAAGGTAAAAGTAGAAATTTCTTATGTGTTTGATTTTCACTTTATTAAAAAATTAAATTAATAAAAATTTATTTAATAAAAATTAATTTAATAAAAATCAGTTATTATATCAAAATTTGTGTTTAGATATAATTTTTTAAAAGTTAATTTAATAAATTAAAAGTTATTTGAATTAATAAAAATTTGTGTTTTTAAAATGTACTTTAAAAATATAATGATAAAAAAGACATTGATTTATAAAAATTGATAATTTTTGTTATATAAATATGATATATTAAAAATATTTTAAAATGAAAATTTTTTTAAATAACATAAAATTTAATATGTTAAATAATACAACTAAAAAATATATAGTTTAATATTGAAAAAAATTAAAAAGTAATAAGCGTATTATGATCATTTATAAAAGTAGGTATAATTTAAACTATCATTTGTAATTTTAAATTCATCAAAAAAAAATAGAGTTTATAAATCCACATTTTAACCCCCATCTTAACACACATTTACAATAAGTGTGTTTGGTTATTTATATATATGATTTGTCAAAAATTACTTGCAATTTTTTTATATAAAAATTAGGGGAGCAAGGTCATATCATAAATTAATGAATCACATTTGAAAAGCACATCTTAAAAGTTAAGAAAATCAAGTTGTATAAATCCACATTTATTGACTTTCTTAAAGCACATTCATAAAAGTACTTTCATCACCTTTTTTTTATCCAAACAATTTTTAACTTTCAAAACTTGTTAAAAATACTTTTTAAAAGTTAAATGTAAAGGTACTGAATGAACCTTTCATCTAAAAATATATAACTTTCAAACTTTTGCGTAAGCTTTTATTATCATTCTTTAATTTCATAAAGTATATTTATAATTTTTTAATTCTATCATTATTAATCTCCAATGATAATTTTTTATCAATTATTGTTGTTTCTAAAAGAAGCTAAATTTAATATGCAATATTTAAGAATATTTTGTTCAATTTAAAGGTTCAATGTCAATATTTTTTTGATTAATGAAACTGACTATATTTGAGTTAGTAGATCAAAAAAAATTTTATAAAATTTAAAGGGTTGAAGTGCACTTTTACCAAAAAAAATACTCCCTCTTTTTTTATTTATAAGATATTTTTAAAGTGATTAATTTTCATTAATTATATTTTTTTAATGTTACCCTTTCCTCCTTATTATATTTTCTCACTCTGTTTAATGTTTCACCAATAATGTTATGTTGTATGAAATATATTTTCAAAAATTTATATTTATGATTTTAAAAAATAAAATTATAAAGTGTTTTCTTTCCGATCCAAATATAAATATTTTATTTAAAATATAAGTAACTTAATATTTATTAAAAAATTTTATTTTATCTTTTATATTTATTAACCTAGATTCTTATATTTTTGAATTTATGACTTTCTTTTTACTCATCATATATTAGAATTAATATTAATAAGGGAAAGCAATATAAATTTACAACAAAAACCTAGCATTCAAATTATATTAAATTTAAATTGATTATGACATTAATAATAGTAAAAAAAATATAATAAATTAAATAGGTGTTCTATTATAAAAATAAATTAATTAAAAGTAATGATACATAAAATTTATTTTATAAATTGATTCAATTTTATGGGTCACAATAGGTGACATGATGTATTGAGTATATTTAATTTCTCGTTAAAAGATGTAATAATAGATAATGTGGTGTATCAAGTATATTTTAAAATTTATTGTTAAGAGATGTTTATATTTTTGATTGAAAGATGCAGCAATTATCTATAAGTTTACTATTATTACAATTAATATATTTTGTTTGGCAAACTCGTTATTATTATTGTTGTTGTTGTTATTATTATTATCATTATTGTCGTTGTTGTTTGGTAATTTTCCAAGTGGTTTTCCGGTCGGAGCATATTCCTGTTGTTCCTTTTTCTGTACGAAGATCCTTTCGCTTTGCAGCATTCTCTCAGGAACTATATATATCAAGCCACCTCAAGCGAGATACAACGTATCAGGTAGATCTTCTTCGACACTCCTGATTCCCTGAATCCTCCTTCACTAATTTTCTCTTTCTCTCTTTCCCTGTTCACGCTTTTAAGTTCTCAGAATATGAAGCTGGAGACCTCAAACGGAGAGATCTTCACCGAAAACATGCCTCTGAATCCTCGTCAGCTTCTCCGATGGTCTTCAGTCGCCAAATTCTGCTATTGCTAATGGGTTTGATGTCGATAAAGACGAGGAAGAGATATTCGTGCCGCCTCTGAACTTCGCCATGGTTGATAATGGCATTTTCAGGGCGGGGTTTCCTGACTCTGCCAATTTCGGATTCCTGAAATCCCTTCGCCTCCGCTCTGTTATGTGAGTTCAATTTCTTCTTTCGTTTTGTTTGATGACCGAAATCGCTGTATTCTTCACTTTGCATTTTGGGGATTTTGATTTTGAATCGATTCTGCATTTGTCCAGACCCTGAACCATATCCAGAAGCGACTTCCGAATTTTGAAGGCTAATGGAATAAGGCTTATTCAATTTGGAATCGATGCCTTTAAGGTTTTGTATTCTTTCTGGTCTTAATTACCACTGTGTACTTTTTTAATTAAACTGTATGTCTGTTAGTAATTCACGAGAATTGGTTGCTTCCAACATGTCACATGATGCTTCTGAAATCAGCCAACTTATTAACAATAGTGTAGGCATGCATCCAAATGCTTTGCTCATAATTTGCTTTTTCACATGCATAAGTGCTATGACATTTTATTTGGAAGATTGAGTCATTTGAAGACCACAAATCGGTCTGATCGATTCATATGTCAATGTCAAAAAATCAAAGACGATCAAGTTCATTAAAAAATATTGGGATTCTGAGGTTGGCAAACTAAACCAAGTAACTTGTTCTAACTGAAGCTCAGTTTCTTTATTTTATTGATATTTATAAACTAATCATCATCCATTCATATGAAAGTTAGATATGTTAATGGACATTAAATTAAATGACAGTAGTTCGTCCTTAACGTTCACCATTTAACTAACATATTGTTGATTCTTTACTTAGTTGTATGAGTTACCACTTACCAGGTACCCATGTGAAATTACAAATGAAGAAGACAATGTCATATGATTATGTTCTATTAAATGAATATGCAATTAGATACTCCCTTCGTTCAAAAATATAAACTATTTTTGAGGAGTTGAGTTGAATGTTGAAAAATGTAAGACATTTTTAGTTTTTCGAAGTGTAATCATCATTTTTTTTTTCAAAAATACCCCTATTGATGAATAACTTTATATTTATTGTAGGGTGTTTAATAAGAGTAAATATTGAAAGATAGGGTTAGTTTGAAAGTAGATAACTACTTTATTTGGAGGTGAGATTTTGTTAAAAATATTTTACATTTTTTAACGAAGGAAATATGAATTTTATCCTATTAATTTTCATATAATTTTATATTTTTTGTTAGGTAAATGTTGAATTTTTGGTATGATTAAGACTTTAATTTGCTAGGAGCCAAGGACACCATCCATGATTTAATCCAAATAAAAAAAGGTCCCCATTGGACATGTATTAGTGTGGGTTCTCTGGCAAACTATAATAATTAGTTGATGGTGTTTTATTTTGCTATGATTATGGAGTACTCATCCATTTCCAGCACAATCTTTTTGAGATTTTACTTTCTGTCCAGGCTTTTGCAACACTATAATCTTCAAGTTAGATTTTCTTGACCTGTGTGCCCCCCTGAAATAGAGTAGAGATGTGAATATTTTCATGTAATCTTTTTTGGTTCTCTTGGTGACTGATAGCTTCTGTTCTGATGTCCTTCAATATAGTTCTGGAAGTACTTTTTGACATGCACTCTGTCCTTTCTTATCATTTTCATTTTCTCCAAGATGCGAATTCCTTTTTTGGCAACTATCCAACCTCTTTTTTAAAATATAAATGAGGTTAAGTTAAACTTTCATGTTGCATACCTTTGCCACATATGGTAAAAGGGTTTTCTAGTTGATTGATCATGTGTTATGACCGGATTTACGTTCATCAATGGAAAATGAACCATACAGGGTGATCATTTGGCCAAGGAGATAAGCAGCCATAATGTATAATTCTACGAGAATGAGTAGTTTATGTATGATTGAAGGATGTTAACCTAAGCTTACAGAATCGTATTATCCATAGTGGTCACCATTTAGTTAGTGGATGCACCTTTCAAGTGCTGCTTGTAGTAGTTGTCTACCTTACCACTTCCTTTGCTCAGTAAACACAGTTTCTCATATTTTTCTTTTTCTGAGGCCGAATATTGGACTTGCATTCTTCCTCACCCTCACTTTTTTTCCTTGCAATCTTCCGTCAATGTTATAGAAGCTTTATCCTCGCTCTGGGGATCCTTCAACTGTATTTAACTCGTAATTCTTTTACATGTTTCTTGTTTTTTTATGGTATCTTCTAGGCAGAACATGCCTGGGAAAGGGGAAGAGTTGACAAATCTGGGAGTATATTGGTGTATATCTTCCTAAGATTATGCTTTTTGTTTGATCACTGTTGAGCCATAATTGGTACCAGAAAGGTCATTTGACTTGATGGGCTGATTGTAACTTTGTTTAACATGTGCTGTGGGCAGGAACCTTTTGTTAACATTCCGGAGCATACAGTGCGTGAAGCATTGCAAGTAGTGCTTGGTATAAATTACACTTGAACTTCATTATTATATCCTTCCTAAACTAGGAGAAAGCTTGTTCAGTGATTTATTGTTTTTAATCATGCTTGTTTATCTTGCCCCAGATGTTAGGAACCACCCTGTGTTAATTCATTGCAAACGAGGAAAGGTAATCAGTGGATCTTTTCTTTTACGCATTTGTTATTAAGACTTGATCAATGATTAATGTTATCTGTTTTTACCATAAGCAGCATCGCACCGGATGTATAGTGGGATGCTTAAGGAGGTTGCAGAGATGGTGTCTATCATCTGTGTTTGATGAGTACCAAAGGTTTGCTGCTGCCAAAGCTAGAGTGTCAGATCAGAGGTTTATTGAATTGTTTGACATTTCTGGTTTGAAGAACAATCCAATGTCATTTTCAAGCTCAAAAAAGTAGAAACATTGGCGTACTTGACAATGCTATTGCTTCCTCCATGGAAACTTTCCGTGATGAAGAGAAGACTGATACTTGTCTTTTCTTTCTGTCTTTTTCGCTGTTACTTTGGTCGTACAGTGTGGTATTCCAAGTGTAGCATTTCTATGCTGAAATGGAACCGAGTGATTGGATGATTTTATAACTTACAATTTTTATCAGCTTAGTTAAGCTTTTGTCTTTCGAGAACTTCAATTTTTGCACATTTTCTATATGACGATATCGCCACTTCAACGCTTGGTTTATAGTAAAGGGTGTTCACATGACGGGATTGGAACACTCTCATCTCATGTCTTGTCCTAAAAAAAAAAATTAAGATTAAATTTTAATCTCATGTTCTTTTTTATCCTGAAAGTCATTTCATCCCGTTAGACGTTTGGACGAGATTAGGACATCACGTTATCCCGATAAATCGGATAATAGCGGAGAAAGGTTTAGATAATAATATTCATTAAAATTTTAAATCATATAATTTATTAAGTTTAAAATCAAAACAACACAAGTACATAAATCACAACAATTTAAAGTCAATTATGAAATTATATTAATCACAACTACACATTGTAATAGCAAATACAAGAAATCTTTAGGCTATAAGAGTAGTAACAACAGGCAAGTTAAGCACAATATCAAATCATTGTACTTCTACTTTAGTAGAGATATACTAAGCTAATTATTCTTTTAAAAATAAAGTAAGAAATACGATATAAATAAAAGTTATTAAATAGATAGATACAAAAATAAATTATATCAATATAATTAATATATTATAAAGAAATATGTCTCCATGTTTACTTCATGTCATTAAAATTATCAATATCAAAAAATTTAGTTTTAAATAAGAATTATAAGTATTGAAATTATAATTGATATAATTAATATAAGTATAAATTATATTAATATAATTAATATATTTAAAATAAAAAATATATATATATATATATATATATAATATTTGGGACAGAATAGGATGTCCCAATGGTAATTTTGTGTCTCATCCCGTTCTGAATCCCTTTTTTGTGTCATTCTGTAAAGTCTCATCTTGATTATTTTCGGGTCGGGACAAGACTCGTCCCGATATGATTGTGACGGTACAGGGCCAATTGGGATAACTCCAAATTGAACACCTCTAGTTTATACACGATGGCCAAGCTCTCTTTTTCACAATATATATTATGATAAAAACAACAATGTGTGTTATGACAAAAAGAATGTTATGGTTAACCAAGTTATCTAATGAGAACTGATACTTTAGGAAAATGCCTAATGAATGGAAGAAAAGCACAAGTGCCTATTATAAGAATAAAGGGGATATTCAGATTATTACAAATTATAGAGGGATTAAGCTTATAAGTTGCACAATGAAATTATGGAAGAGTGATTAAATATAGGTTGAAGTTGAAGACTAGACTAGTAGTTTTGATAACTAATAAATTTTCATGCTAGACAAGGCTACGACAAAAGTGATACATGGATTAAGGAGATTAATAGAGAAGTATCCAAGTAAAGGTAGAGGCTTACATATAATTTTCATTGCTTTTGAAAAAGTTTAAAATTGTGTATCAAAAGAAGTATTTTTAAAAGCTTTATAAAAGAAAGGAACTTGGTTGCTTATATTAAAGTCATATAAGATGAGGAAAATGGCACTAAGGGCTCTAAAAAGTAAGAATTTTGCAGAGAAGGCTTAATAGAATCTGAAATTATTTTAAGGGCCTAAAGGTCTCATTTGCAATTATATTTTTTAGTAAAATAATCAATTTGTCCCTCCCATAACCAGCTACTGAACGACAACTTTCTTCTTCTTCCTCCCTCTTCCTTCTCTCTCTTCCTCTTTCAACATTGATGCAATAACCAAATTCATCTTCCTCCCGATCGTGCTTCTCTATTCCCTCTCTTCTTCTTCCTTGTTTCTCTCATTTGAATCTTTTTTGTTCAATAGGTATGAGTGGGCGATCCACTTTTATCCAAATGGTTACGGAGAAAATGATCAAGCATTCACCTGATTACATTCCTCTCATGCCAACCAGCTTCTTGGAACGATCTGCCATAGTGTGGAAAGAATGGATCAAATTGCTACATCTGCCATTGCGGAAGAAACTTTTTTGCTGCTCTTAGACTTGTCTTTAAGCTTACTTCGTCTATTCGTCTTGATCAGAGTCTTAGAAGCTTTATTTGATCCATTATCAGTTTTATTTTGTCAAAAAAGGACAGAGAGAGTTTGAGCCATATCAGTTTTATTTAGTCATAATGTACCTTTTCATGTTCATTTAATAAAAACAAGTTGTTATTTACGAACTTTCTATTGTTTCTGATGCATATTTTTTTGCAACGGATATACATGCTCTGGTGTAGATGTTATTTATGAAATTTATGTCATTATTTATGAAGTTTATATTGTGCAAACTTTGCAATTAACTTGTGTGGATATTTATGCATATCACTTTGACAAATCTTGTGTTGTAAATATAGGGACATTGTATTGTTAGCAAATGGATACTTTCATGTTATATACGAACTTCTTGTTCTTCATAAACTTGAGAAACTTTTTCAAATGTTCAGTTTAATCACACAACTCATGTGAAATAGATGGACATTGTGTTATTAATAAATGGATCTTGTGATGTTATATACAGACTTTTTATTGTCCATAAATTAGAGAAACTTTTTGTTAAGCCTAACCAACTGATAAACTAGACACATATGGACTTTCAGTTTAGAATATATGAAGATTGTGTTGTGCATAGTGGATATTGTGTTATACATTCTAACTTGTATATTTTGTTAAATCTAGCCTACTAATAAACTAGACACATATGGACTTTCAGTTGAGAATATATGAATGTTATATTGTACATAGTGGATATTGTGTTGTACATTATCTACGTAACTCATACATTTTGCTAAGCCTAGTCTATCAATAAACTAGACACGCATGAACTTTCATTTGAGAATATGTAAAGATTGTATTGTGCATAGTGCAATTGTATTGTATATTGTCTGCCTAACTTGTACATTTTATTAAGCCTAAGCTACTGATGAACTAAACAGGTATGGACTTTCAGTTGAGAATATATAAATATTGTGTTATGCATAATGGATATTATGTTGTACATTGTTTGTTTAACTTATACATCTTGTTAAGCTTGTCTTATTGATAAACTAGACACGCATGGACTTTCATTTTGAGTATTTCACTAGCAATCACCTTTAACCAGCCATCCTCCCGGGAGGCCATGAACAAGGAGGATAGAGTCTCAATTTTAAGATTAAAAGATTTATCATCGTTCAAAATGTGGGGAAGTTGGACACAATCGCAAGACATGCAAGAATTCTAACCCAACATAAGAAATAATCACATTATATTTCTTTAGTGTACATATGCTGCTATAATTATGTATATGGAAACATTCTCAATTAATATTTTTGAGTAATTGGAAATGATAGATATTTTTTGTTTACATATAGAGAAGTAATTGTTAACTGTTTTGGATATAGTGACTAACTTTTTGTATATATCAGACTTGAAATATCATGTCAAATTTCATGTGACTACTTGTTTTAGTACTTAAGTTAGTACCAACATGAAATTCTTATATGATGTAATTGTCCTTATTAATATTAAAAATGTATGGACTTTCTATTTAGGCATTTGTGGACATCATTTTGTGCATAATGGATGTTATGTCGGACATGGTCTGCCTAACTTGTCATTTTTGTTTAGACTAAGCTAATAAAATACTTGAAATGAAAGTTCATGCACGTCTAGTTTATTAATAGGACAAGCTTAATAAAATGTATAAGTTAAACAGACAATATACAACACAATATCCACTATGTACAACACAATATTCATATATTCTCAATTGAAAGTCCATGTGTGTCTAGTTTATCAGTAGGCTAGACTTAACAAAATGTACAAGTCAAGCAGATAATGTACAATACAATATACACTATGCATAACACAATCTTCACATATTCTCAAATGAAAGCGCATGCGTGTCTAGTTTATCGATAGAATAGGCTTAACAAAATGTACAAGTTACGCAGATAATGTACAACACAATATCTACTATGCACAATATAATGTTTATATATTCTCAATTCAAAGTCTATATGTGTCTAGTTTATCAGTAGGCTAGATTTAATAAAATATACAAGTTAGACAAATGATGTATAATACAATATCCATTATGCACAATATAATCTTCATATATTCTAAACTTAAAGTCCATATGTATCCAATTTGTCAGTTGGCTGGGCTTAACAAAAAGTTTCTCAAGTTTATGAACAATAAAAGGTTTGTATATAATATCACAAGATCCATTTATTAACAATACAATGTCTATCTATTTCACATGAGTTGTGTGATTAAACTGAACATTTGAAAAAGTTTTTTAAGTTTATGAAGAACAAGAAGTCCTTATATAACATGAAAGTATCCATTTGCTAATAACACAATGTCTATATATTTACAACACAAGGTTTATCAATGTGATATGCATAAATATCCGCACAAGTTAATTGCAAAGTTTGCACAATGTAAACTTCATAAATAACGACATAAATTTCATAAATAACATCTACACCAAGGCATGTATATCTGCTACAAAAAAATATGCATTAGAAACAATAAAAAGTTCATAAATAACAACTTGTTTTTATTAAATAAACATGAACATGTACATTATAACTAGATAAAACTGATATGACTCAAACTCTCTCTATGTCTTTTTTTGACAAAATAAAACTGATAATGGATCAACTGAAGCTTTTAAGACTCTAATCAAGATGAATGGATGAAGTAAGCTACAAGTCTAAGAGCAGCAAAAAAGTTTCTTCTGCAATGGGAGATGCAGCAGCTTGATTCATTCTTTCCACACTATCACGAATCGTTCCAAGAAGCTGGTTGGTGTGAGAGGAATGTAATTGGGCGAATGCCTGATCATCTTCTCCATAGCTATCTGGATAAGTCTACTCATACCTGTTGAACAAAAAAGATTCAAATGAGAGAAACAAGGAAGAAGAAGAGAGGAAATAGAGAAGCACGATGGAGAGAAAGATAAATTTAATTATTGCATCAGTGTTGAAAGACGAAGAGAGAGAGGAAGAGGGAAGAAGAAGAGAGGAAAAAAAGAAAGTTGTTGTTCAGTAGTTGGTTATGGGAGGGACAAATTGATCATTTCACTAGAAAACATAATTGCAAATAAGGCTTTTAGGCCCTCAAAATAATTTTAGATTCTATTAGGCTTTGTCTACAAAATTTTTGCTTTGTAAGGCCTTTAGTGCCATTCTTCCTATAAAATATGTACAGGGGGTAGCAATTAGTATAAGAATATTTGGTGGTGAAATAAAAGATTTTTTTTTATAAAGATCAACCTGCATCAAAGATAATTTTGAGCTCACTCTTGTTTGAATTAGTTTTAGATGTTTTGTCTGAATATATTTAAAAAGAAATTCCCAATTGCAAGTCATTACCGAGCTCATAACTAAATATTCCATCTCTTATGCTTTAGAAATGCACTTTGGCGGATCAAAAGCTGATGCAACAACTACAATATCAACTCCTCTTTACTGAATCTAATTTGCTTCAGGAAAAAGCTCATTACACAGAACCTATTGTCCATGAACTCCAGCAACAATGTTTCTGCAAACATAACTTCTTTACTTGCTAATTTTCAGCATTTCAACGTCGAAGTTGTACCAATGTTAGATTGGTTTTACCAATCATCATAGAACAATTTTGATTTTTGGCCTTGAATTTCATAGTAAATAATATAACTCTTTCCATTTCTATGTACAAGTTACCTTCAATTAATTAACACATACTGAATATGCTAAAAAAGTAAGTTAAAATTGATTAATGTTGTTAAAAATCACACAATCTTTTTAGAAATAACTTTAATCAACGTCTTTTATCAAATCTTGCCAAGCTAAGCTAACATGATTGAGCAAGTCCTCGAGATATTACCCTTTGTTGCCATTTCCTTAGATCATTTATTAGATAAGAGTCTAGTCTATCATTCTCCAATTTTAGGGCTTTGGCTTCAGATATTTGTTTGGCCTTTATTTTTAGGTGCTGCATCGCTTTGTTTAATGGGCAAAAGGGTAAAAAAAATCCAACAAGCCATCAATCAAAAACATTCAATACTTTAAAATGAGGAAAAGTATGTGATAGTCCATAAAGTTATTTTTTCATTACATTTATGACCAAACTGTCAATAGTTAAAGACGTCGATCATTATCTTATAGATTTAAAATTTAATGATTCTGTTACAATTGCATCAAAAAAAATAATTTTATAAATGCTGGTGCACTTTTTTTTTTTACTTTAAATTACTGAATGCTCTTAATTAATAATTTGAGTATTTTTTACTTCTTTACCGTTATTTAGTTTCTCGAGTCTTGTCTTGGCTAGGTTTTCTTTTGTCTTGCATTAATGCTTGTATTTTGCTTCAATATAATGAAAATCATCTTTTAGTTAATAAAAAGCTGACATGTGTATCCGACTCCTCTCACGTACTACTGTAGATACGAGCAAAAATAGCTATGATGCTTTTGCTACAGCTCGTCTCTAGCTTCATGCACAATATCACTTGCACCAGTTAAGCCAATCAGTTCACATCATTCTTTTTAAATGGAAAATTGCATCTAAGGACTATTGAAGTGCTTTTTTTTTTTTTTTAACCCACATGTATGGAGGTAATAATATTGAGGTATTATTGAGTATTAAATATAAATACTTTTTTAATAAAATTTAAGTATTGATTTATTATGCTATGAAAAATTAATTCTTTTTACAAGACTCAACTCCTGTGAATGACTACAAAAACACTTTAATCATAAGAAAGAATAAAAAAATTTTGAATTTTCTTTGCAAGGTTGAGAAACCTAAATAAAATTAAATTTTGTGAAAAGGCTAAACCATCTCTCATTTTTTTGAAAAAAAAAAAAAAACAAATCAGCTCGCATCGTTGCCCCCAGCGTTGGCTGCCAGAGCTCTGGCATTATCACCTCACACCAGTGCCCTTCCTCTCTGTCATTCATCTTGAGAACTCCGTCGCCGTGCCTTCTAGAAGGCAGATTTGGAACCATGTCACAGATCTGGAAAGCCATGCTCATCCACCATGTTTGATTTGAACCATCATAGTAGTTCCCATTCACCTAACCATCTCTCCCTTGTCCTCCTCTAATCCTTCTCAGCTCTTCCTCGTCGTGCCTTTATACCGTTTCATTAATTTGGACCATCATGTCTGTCATCTCCATCAATGACGTATCGTTGTCCTGAGGAGGCTTCTGGGGAGGATTGTTAGCAGACACTGATATTCTGTTTCTTACCATTCCCCTTTTCTAAGGATGCAACCAACCATACACTTAATGATCAGATGACAATCCTCACATACTCGAGGGTTCTTAAAAATTCTTATGGGCGTTCCTGGAGCCGTCGCAAGAATACCAAAAGCAATTGCTAACTTCTCACTATGAGTAGCTAATTGATTTTGTTTCTCATGTTCCTCAAGATATTGCGTACCTTGATGTTGGAGCCTCATATCCAGCAGATCAAAGTCTCTGAAGAATTTCGTCCAACATTTCATAAATCTGAAATGATTTTGGATCATTGGTTGTCACTTATCTCCGGAGACAAATTCATATAAGGCATCATCAACTTCAACTGCGCTGCTTCCAACCGGGACCTTCTATGAAGATTTGCATTTTTCACCATCCTTCTAAAATTCACTACCTTGAAAGGTTTACATGAGGCTCCAGTTGCAGAAGATTTACAGTAGCTTCCTCTGCTAGTTCAATGTTCTTGTGGATTCTACAAGCTCCAAGAAAGGCCCTCCAAACTATGGCGTCTGGTGCAAAGGGCATAGTCCTAATGAGTTCCATAGCCTCTTGAAGCCGCCCTGCTCGGCCTAAAATGTCAACCATACACCCATAATGTTCAATCTTAGGATTAATTCCATAAACACTATTCATTGATTTGAAGTACATCCATCCAGTCTCAACCAACCCAATATGACTACATGCACTTAATACACCAATGAAGGTAACATCATTTGGTTTAATTCCTTCAGCTACCATCTTGGTGAAGTGTTCTAAAGCAAGATGACCAAGCCCATGGCTTGAAAAACCCATGATCATGACACTCCAAGTAAAAATATCCTTATCTTTCAATCGCTAAATACTCTCACTGAACTATCTATGTCCCCACACTTTGCGTACATGTCCAAAAGAGATGTCCCCAGCTTCATGTCTATTCCAATTCGGTTTGTCTCAATGTACTCATGAATCGTTTTGCCCATTCCTAAGGCACCAACATTTCCACACGCATTCAGGACACTGATTAACGTGATCTTATCAGGCACTACATCAGCTACTTGCATATCATCAAAGAGCTTCAAGCCTGGTTAGCCTGGTTAGATTGTTGTCTCTGTTCACTGGTTGGCAATGTCCAACGCATCGCCAAATGAGGCATACCCATGAATAATGGTGTTCCATGAAACCAAATCTCTCTGGGGCATTCTGTCAAACAGTTCACGGGCCTTTTGAATATCTCGAATTTTAACGTACTCTGACAGTAGAACATTGTGAGCAACTAAATCTGGTTCTTCCATAAAATCAAACACCTTAGCTGCATACTCTGTGCAACCACATCTTGCATACATTTCAATAAGCGCAGTTTGGACAAACAAATCACGGCAAAACCCAAGTTTCACCACATAGGCGTGAATCATCATGCCATTATCACAATCCATTAACCTCCCACATGCTTGAAGAACCAGCGAGAGGCTGAAACTATCGAGTGGAAGGTCGTCGTGGAAGCGCATTTGGAAGTAAAGGGCAAGAGATTCTGCAGGCTTTTGAGCATTCAAGTAAGTACGCATCATGGTGTTCCAGGTGAATGTGTCAGGAAGGGAAAAGGAATCGAACATGGAACGAGCATAATACAAATCAGCGTCATGATGGGGCCAAGAGAAGAGAAATGACAGCGTTTAAGAACTTTGACTTGAGGAAGTGTTCATGCCAGGACAGAAGAAACATGTTTTGATGTAAAGAGCATGAAGTTGAAGGAGGCGTGTTAGGTTGGCGTTCTGAAGAAGAGCCACGATTCTCTGTTTTGGTGGTCTTTCTGGTGTGGTGCTGCAGAAGAAGTTTAACGCTCATGGACATTCTTCGTATGGTAGAAGGAATAGCTATCTCCTCTTCATCAGTTTAGAATTGGATTTTGGGGGACAGAAAAATTAATATACTTTAAAAAAGAAATTAGAGTTTTAGCATAAACTATAATTACAATTTTCACGGCTCTCCCATGAAAGAGAGATCGCAAGTTCTATACCCGATGATAAAGAGATGGGGGTATACATGACTATATGAGTGTGGTGAGTTGTGTTAAAATGTGGGGTGGTAAAAATTGGTTGAAAAGTAAAGCCCTTGAATAAAAAAAATCTCTAGACTATTCATTTAACTCCATTTTTTTAGGCTGTGTTGCAAATAATAATAATAATAATTAATAATAATAAAACACAGAGAGATATTTTTTTTACATAGAGGTTTATGGACTCAGTTCTTATATAAGCATTTGAAACAAGCTTGGACTTGAACCAGCATGTGATTGAAATTGTTGATATGTAAAATCATATGGTTAAAATTGTTTGATTTGATGTTATAACCTTATGAATGAGTGATGAGCTTTTACCAACTGACTTTATTGTAAAAAAGTAGATTTTGATAATAAATCTAGGCTTCCGGAGCATGAGGGGGATTGGATTTGATTTTGTTCAATATGGGCCCAAGCACAACAAGTGCTTCTCAAATTTTGCTCATCTTCTGAGCATCATAAATATCAAAGGCAAGAATTGACATGAACCGAAGCAACAAATAAGAAAGTTCCAGAGCAGCTACATATGGCCATTCCTAGTTTCGTTCATAGCAAGATTTCCTGCATTGGCCATTCGCATTCACATAAATTGAAACGTTCGCTTACCCTAAATGAATAAAAAAATAGAAGGGTACAGAATATATGAAAAAGAAGAGAGAGAAATTGACTACCTCACACTCCATTTCCTTGGCGTTTTTGGATTCTTTCTCATTCCAATGCTTTCTCAGCTAAAACGTGGGCACCCAAAAAAAAAAAAAAAGATTTAATATTGATATAAATTTTTTAATATTCATATTTAGTATTAAATGAAATTATAATAATTGTTTCCAAAAATTTGATTAAATCATTCTATTTGATAAATAATATGTCAAATTTCATTACTATTTCAATAATTATTGGTTTCGAAAAATTTTGTTTAGATCTTAAAACTTAAAGGTAAACGGATTTATATGAAACTCTTTTTGGGTTGTTTGTTTTTCAATGTCTGTCTTATTCATTTTGTGAACGGTATTGCCCCAGTTTCTCTAGGGGGTGGGCCATGGAAGAAAACTAGAACGATGCGATGCAAGGATAAAATATGTCCTTTCACTCAACCCATGCCTTTAAAAGATGTAGGAACCGCTTCTCGTTTCTGGGTATGAAAATATCGGTCCCTCTTGCTCTTTCTTATAGCTGTTTGTGCTTTCTCTCTGTTCATTCCTATTGCTAACTTCCAAATTGGAGATAAAAACAATGGCGTCTTTGTCCCAGCTCAATCAATTCCGCTGCAAAGCCCTTTCAGTCACCCCTCCGGCTTCTAATCTCACGCCTAAAACTTCAATTTCTCTGCCGTGCATGGTTGAATTTTCCGGTCAATCCATCAGAAAACCTAACAATTCGCCACGGCCCGTGTTCTGTGTTCGAGCAGTGACAGACGACGACGAGTGGGGTCCTGAAAAGAAGGAGGATTCGGCGGTGCCTGTGGGCAGTGGCGGAGGAAGAAGGCGGTGGAGGAGCTGGAGACTGATCGCCTGAAAAAGGCGTTGGTGGATTCGTTTTATGGGACCGATCGAGGATTGAAGGCTACGAGCGAGACGAGAGCGGAGATCGTGGAGCTTATCACGCCACTTGAGGCTAAGAACCCAAACCCTGCGCCTACTGAGGCCCTGACGCCTGCTCAATGGAAAATGGATTCTCGCGTAAGAGTTTCCTATTCCTATATATCTTAGTTGTTGTTGGAATTGTTTAATTTTCTGTTATGCTTCTCGAGCAAACATTCAAAAATAGTCGATAAAATGTTATATATGTCTGGGCTTACTAAAATGTATTAAGATATTTACTTGTGATTGTGTTTGATCAATCGAATGTGTTGGAGTATGAGTTAAGTGTCCATGATGCAAATAATGACTCGTGAGATATCCTTAAGCCGCGAGATGCCAACACGGTGGTCGGTGTTGTTGAAGGAATTCAATATTCTTAGGCAATATCTCTAAGATTTTAGGATGAAAACAATAGTAGGAGTGTTATCTTCACGTAAGACCTGACATTACTCAAATTTGAATTAGGTGATATTGTTTAACAGAAAAAAAGGTCTAAAAAAACTAATTGTGAAAGATGGAGCTCTGTTCTTATCCATGTAAGAGAAACGATACTACAGTACAAGTGATTGTGAGTCAGTTCTATCTTGTTTAGCTTTCCCCCCTACTTTTATTCATGTATATATTGATTAATTACTAAATACAAGATTGAGTTTCTTTCCTATGTTATATGCCTTTAATTGATATATTGAAGTTCAAAAGTGGTATTAAGTATATACCATTAACTAGTACTAATGTTTTTTTTTAATTTATGTAAACATACACAGTACATTTTATTCATCCAATACAAAAGATCTAATTATTAATTATGGGATTTAGGATGAATTGACTTTATAATGGATTTGATCAAATTAACAATTTGATTTTTAAATTATTAGATTCATTCAATCTTAAATTTGAAAATTAATAAATACACTAGTCCCTAAAATTATTAATTATACTCCTTCCATTTCAAATTATAGAGTTTTTTGAAGAAGTTTCTTTATCCCCAAAATAAGATACTTTGGGTAAATTAAAATTTCATTAAATGTACTAATTTCAATATTATCCTTTCTCTGTCTATAATTAATTTTCATTCCTTCTCTTTTTAATATATTAAATGATAAGTATTTTTGAAAGTTTATATTTTTATTTTAGAAAGATCAGGTTATTAAGTGCATTTAATGTGGTTTATTGATATGTGAGATTTTATTTAAAAGTATCTTATAATTTGAAATGAAGTGAGTAGTATTTCATATTTTGTCATCTTATACTATTTATATTTAGGGGTAGGAATAGGCCAGGGTCCTAATAGGGGCCTACAACTTGGACTTACTTTTAGTTTAACCTAACCTATTTACTAAATAGACTCAAGTCAAGTTTGTATTTTTAACTAGGCCTATTTAGTTTAATAGGCTAAGCTTATTTTTTCAAGGATTAACCTACAAGCTTAACAGGCCAGCATATATATTTACACACACAGACACAATGTAATATATCACAAACACATCAGTTTTACTATTTGATTTTTAATCATTTTATTCTTTTTTTATTTTTAATTACATTTCAATCATATTGGACTTATATATTATTTTAATGTTGTTAGTTTATTGTTAGATTGTATTATAGTTGGCAAGTTCTCTCAATCTTATTATATATTGTGATTGATAAATCATGTTGTATATTATAATAGTCCTAAGTATATTTGAGAAGTTTAAAACTAACATGTGAGTCTATTTAAAAGGTTTAATTTAAGTAGGACTAGGCTTAAGTCGAGAGAAAAGCCTTATATAGGCTCAAGCCTATTTGACTAAAGCTTAACTCACCCTAGCTTATTTCCACCTCTAATTGTATACATGTTGTCCTATACTTTGCACTGAAGTATAGAATTTTCACGTTTTTATTATAGCAGGATAATTTGTTAAGCCTTTGCCTATCTCAGGATAATTTTGATTATTGTTGATTGATTCTCAATAATCAAAATGATATATTACATGGGGCATATATTCTCTTTTCTCTCAAGAAATGACTTAACCATATCATTCTCCTTCTCTTGTCATTTTCCCATCCAAACATATGGCATGTCCTTCCCCCCCCCCCCCTCTCTATATAAAAATGATGAGTCAACCCACTCTGGGCTAGAAGGATATTATTATTATGAATGTGAATCCCGGACTTTGTGTTGTAGCGTTTGAACTCATGCAAGGATTGATGTTGAATCCAAAAAATGTGTGGCCCACGTGCAAATTGCCTCTCTCTCTCTCTCTCTCCCCCCCCCCCCCCCTCTCACTCACTCACAGGGGTATCTGTGGCTGTGCAGGTACACATCATTTGCAGGTTTGTTCCCACTGTTGTCAAGAGGAACACTGCCACTGGTGAAGGTAGAGGAAATATCTCAGACAATTGATTCCCAAAACTTCACCGTCCAAAACTCAGTTCAGTTTGCTGGCCCTTTGGCTACCACTTCTGTCAGCACCAATGCCAAATTTGAAGTTCGCAGTCCAAAAACGTGTCCAGGTTCGCCTTCAATCTTACTATGTGTTGCAAATGTTGAGGGACTAAAGTCCTATAGAAGAATCAATTCAATGACCAAGGTCTTTGGTTGACATTTTTTTATGAACCATATTTTAAGTTTAAGGTCTTTACTGCTGAAACCATGAACATTTTTCAGATCAAGTTCGACGAAGGGATCATCAGCACGCCACAGCTGACAGACTCGTTAGTAATACCAGAAAATGTTGAGTTCTTGGGACAGAAGATAGACCTGACACCTTTCAAAGGAATACTCAACTCTCTGCAAGACACAGCCTCAAATGTTGCCAGAACAATTTCCAGTCAGCCTCCATTGAAGATCCCAATCAGCAACAGCAATGCTCAGTCATGGTTGCTCACAACATACCTAGACGAAGAACTTCGTATCTCTCGGGGAGATGGTGGCAGTGTCTTCGTTCTCATCAAGGAGGGAAGCTCCCTCTTGTCAAGCCTAAGCAGTTAGTTTGCTTTCTTAGCTTCTTAATGAAATGCATGCTCATGAGTAAGAAACCTACGTGTTCTTTACGTAGTGTACAAGGTTTAGGCTCGTATTGATAAGTCTCAGGATTTGGAATTGCGTTGAGCTTATTTGTAGTGTATAGTGTATGTAGAATAAACAAGAATGGTTGAGTCACTGATAAATGCTTCATGTTTATGGGTCGGAACCTTAGCTCATTGTGACATATTTCTTTCATACCAAAATATACTTAAAAGGAACCAAATAAAAATGGATGATAACCTTTAGCTAAAGTAATTGAATTGAATTACACACACATAAGTAGTTCTGAAAAAATAAGTTACGAATGGCAAGCATTAAGATAAGAGTTTCTCGGATTGAACTTCTGTTCTAAAGTAAGTTTGTCCCAAAATCCAACATCATCAAAACATCAAAAGGTAAACGTTATGAATGGGAATATAATACACACAATTAGCCCTTTGTTCTCACACTAACACTACGTTTGGATTCTCTATCAAACCGCTACGATCCCTTTTCAGTTAGGAGATTCAAATAAAATAATTACATTTAAATAAATTGGAGAATTTCTAGTAAGGGTCAAAGATATGACTTAATTACTAGTAGGTTTTAAAAAAAATCTAAAATTTCAATTTAATTTAAGAGGATTGAAGTGAAAATAATTTTAATGGTGAAAAAAATTAAAGTATTTTTCACTTATTAATTTTGTTCGAAATGAAGAATTATTAGTTGTTAATTTTTTTTACTTCACTTGTTAATTTTTCAATATGAGTTGTATTTATAACTAATGTTACTAAATTAACAAGTAAAGTTAGCAAATTAATAATTGATGTTGCTGCTTATAATTGAACAATTGATGTCTAAGTCTTATATAATTATTGACAAATTAATTCATATTATTTACAATTCATAATGATAGATTAACAAATGAAATAAAAAAATTAACAACTAGTGATTATGCATTTCGGACAAAATTAATAAATGAAGGGCATTTTAATCTTTTTATCATTAAAATTATTTTTCACTTCAATCATCATGGACTAAACTAAAATTTCAGATTTTTTTTTTAGACCTACTAGTAATTAAGTCACATATCTGTTCTTTAGTTAAAATTCTACCTAAATAAAATGATTACTGCAGTTTCATGAAAAATATGTAAGAATCTCTATAAAAACTGTTTAAACTTGGAAGCATGTCCAAGACATCTAGTAAATAAAAAGGAGAATGACAAAGTTTTAAGGATGAATTAATGATGGTTAAGTTTTTGAAAATTTTTTTGTAAAATAACTTATAAATATTAATTCAAATTGTAAATTAATTATTATATTTAGAATAAACATCATATTTGCAGCTGAAACTTTTAAATTTAAAATTGTTTAAAATATTTACAACTAATTTTTTAAAAAAAAAATTGTTAGAGATTTAACTATCATGAATTTTTTTCAAAAAAAAATTGAACTGTTATTCTCCCTGAATAAAATGATTGATTGGACCAATTTGGGCATGCAGCGTAGTTTGGTAGATGCAAGGAAACTGGGATGATGTTGGGGATCCATTTACCCCCCCCCCCGGGACACTGTAGCTTGTTGGAAAAAACCAGAATCGATAAAGAATGAGAAGAGGAAAACAATAAGGAAGAAAATTTGTATAAGAAAATCGAACATAGATATTTAGCCCCTTCAAGCAAAACCGACAAAATTAGAATAATATTATGTAAAATGTCACTTTCAACATATATATATTAAAGCATATTATATTAATTATAACCAATCGGATCCAATCAGGATTTAACTATTTGAGCCTTAAAACAAGTATCTCATCCAGTTTAAGGACGAATTTGATTTTTTTAAACCTTGCAACTGATATAAGATAATAAAAACAGCAAAACGGAGTTAATCTGTTCCCCTACTACGACTTCCTCCTCAAGCATTACAGCAAAATCGTTTATTTGTTTGTTGCATGCGCAACATCTTCCCTCTGCCTTCTCCCATTTGGCTTGCCCATGCACGCCGCTTTATATATTTATTAATTATTAATTATTAATGAAAGCACATTCATGACCACATCAGCACCTACATAATTTTTGGCCACATCACAGGCTGTTTCCTTTTCCTTACTCTCCAATTCTCTCCTCTTCTTTTCATCGCCGTTAGATCAAAGCTATTCAGTGCGTGTTTGGATCTGTTTTTAATCAATTTTTTTACTTAAAAAAATCAATTATTCTGTTTATTAACCAAACACTTGAAAAGGCAAAAAATCAATTTCAACCATTAAAATTGATTTTTTTTTTCAAAAGCTAAGATTTTGAGCTTTTTCCGAAACGCTGATGAAAAAATGTTGGAGAAAATTATAAAGAAAAGTCTAAGAAAAAATTATAAAAAAGACACAATTTTATAAAAATAAAATCAAACTTTCTTCTCTTCTCTCTTTTTTTTTTCTTAGTAAAATTAAAACTGTAGATCTTTTAAAAAAGTTGCCAACATAAATTTCTATCAATCACTACTCTTCACTTAACCTTATTGTAAAACTAATTCAAATAAAATATTAATTAGTGAGGGAAAATTAATTTAATTTAGAATCATGACAAAGATTGTTACAAAAGTCTAAAGAGAGAGGTTTTATGTCATTTGTTACATTGCTACATTTTTTAAGTTGCCAAATTTCAAAACAGTACTTAATAATTTCATCAAATATGATTCATATCCATAATATCATTATCAATTGTATATTATTTTCTTTAATAGTTATTGTAAAATTGATATTTGACATTTAAAAATTAATCTTTCTTTTTATTAAATTTATTTAAACAAAGATATATTGAGTTATTTATTTACGTAAATTAAATTATTAATATTAATATAATTTAAATTTTTTATACTTAATCAAATATGTAATTTAAATAATATATTTTACTTGTTAAGTAAAATTTAACAAATTTAATAATATTAAATACAAATATATTAATAATTTAATTTTAAAAAAAAATGTTCTTTATAATAATTTATACAGTTAAAATTAATTTTAAATAAATTATTCAAACATCTTCAATTATATTACAATTAATTTTAAAAAAAACAGTATTCAAACAAATTGTATTATAATATAATTAATCATGATTAAAATCAATCATTTAATTAATTATTTTCATAATTAATTATGCACGAGCCCTCAACAGTTGATATTTAATTTTTGATAAAATCATTATTATAATCTTATATAAATAAAATATTATAAATTTATATTGTTTAGATCAAATTTTAATAGTTCAAATTTCTTTATATACTTTTATGTAAAATTAAAATAATAATTTTATTAAATATTTAGTCAAACCCATTAAAACTTTGATCTAATGATGATAAAAGGAAAAGAAAAAAAATGGTGAATAAAAGAAAAGGAGAGGCCCCTCTCCTTGTACATAACATGGAGCCAAGTCCATGTAAAACTTTCTCTAGTTTTTTGCCACATCAACATTTATCGCGCACCGTCAACGTCTCTCGTTTATTGGCAAGGTAATTTTTTACGCCAACTGAAAGCAACGGGACCAAATGAAAAAATCAGGTCAAAATTTCTGTTTGCAAATTAAAAAAAAAAAATACTTGGTGGAAGTTGATTCTTTTATTTCAAAAAAAAAAAAGAATAAAAACACTTGATGAAACATAGCGTGCAACAAAGTTGTTATTTTTCAAAATCCATCCTTACTAGTTAATCTTCAAATTTTAAAACTAAATATCGTTTAATAGACGCAATCTCAGAAAACAGCTTAAATAGGCAAAAGGAGAAAAAATCCCTCATAACTATTGTTAGAACCTGACTAGACATTGAATTAGTTCGAACATTGGTTCACTAAACTATAGTTGAACCATGACCAGACCATAGTCAAACCAATCTCAATTAAAATATATTTTAAATAATACATGTGAAAAAAATAATTTAGACAATATTTACCAATATAATTTTAGAAAAACCCATATATGTCTTGAAATATTCATTCATGTCCATATCAGTTTCATACATACTAATCATCCAAGTATGCTAATTAATTGTCCAACTAAGCTACACGCTTCCATAATTTGATCCAAGCCACTAATAAATCATCAAATATATAAAACTAAAGAAAAACGAACCAAGAGACAAATTTAAACAAAAAAATAACAATATTTAGGTATTTAAATTAAAAAATAAGAAAAACCGGTTCCAACTGATTTTCCACCAGTTCTAGTCAGTTTTGATCGATTTGACTAGTTCTCCACCGCTTCACTATTGCTAGTTTTAAGGGTTTTGGACCAGACATACGGTCAGTTCTTGATCTGACTCGTTGGCCCAGTCCGGTTCTGTCAACAATAATTATAACCAGTAAGAAATGACGCATTGCCCGACAGACAAACCTAAAACGGGCAGAAAGCTCAATTTCCTGGGTTTCTTTCCCTGCCATTTTAATCATGCACAAAATTTACGACAATAATAAATCTTATCTTACCTCGATGGGTGAGACCAGCTATATGAATTGCACGACGTCATTGAAGGTTTTTTTCAATAATTTCCATAAGTGTTATACTTACAACAAAAACAGGGTACAAAGAACCAATCAAAAGTCCCAGGCTGAGCCAGTTTTTCCCCCTCGTCCTGTAAGCATCATACGAAATTAGGAAATAGGAATGCATACTACGTACAGAAAAAGAAATCCTAAAAACAAGAAAGAACGTGTAAATTTCAGAAGTAGATCACAGCATCAGAGTCAATTGAATCCACATATATCCGTCCAATGCTTGGGACAGAGACCCAGAATAATAGAGAATCTACATTCAGATAACTTTAAAGAAAAGACTTGGATCCTAATAAGTATGATGTTGCATCAAACCTTAACGCAGCTTTTTCGTGCGTTTGGAGGGCCGCAGAGTGTCCTTTCTTGAATCCTCTGGAGCAGTCAAGTCAATGAATGGCTGAAGCGAACCATATATAGGAAAATAGGTGTAAGCATAATATACAAACCAACTAAATGGTTCAACTCACAACAAAGACTCATAGGCAAGCCTTATTTTATTGGCAATGAATGGAAGGATTTACTCCACTCAAAAATATAAAGCATTTTGGATCTTACAAGGTGCAACTAATGAGATTTTTCTAAAAATGCCTTTAATTGAGGAGTGTAATTAATAAGGCTTTCTAACTGAGAAACATAAAAAGAGTGTAATTTTAAATACAATGAACTAACTCATTGGGAAATATAATTCGGTTAAAAGTGCCTCATAATATTAAAGGGAGGGAGTAACATGTTATAGGGATAAAGCCTATGGCCTCCATTATGCAATCCAAGTAAGAAGATTTCCAACGAAAAAGTTTGATAAAATCCCCCAAGAATAAGGGGGGAAAAAAACTAAAGAAGTACTCCCTCTATTTTTATTTATAGAAGAAACTATCACTTTTAACTTTTTTTAAATATAAGTAAAATCATAATTTCTAATAAGCATTTATTGCAAACTTCTTAAATTATCTTTACTAATTTTATCATTCATAGTCAAAAGAAACAATTAATGAAGACTTGATTAACATAATTAATGAAGGGTATTGAAGTCCAATTCTTTTATTTTTAGACACAATTAATATAATTAACTGATTTTCTTAAACTGTGTAATACAGTTTTTTTCCTACAAATAGAAATGGACGGAGTATTATTGGTCAATTCAGATATGATTATGAAGGCTTGAACCTGGGAGCATCCCTTTACTCCCCTCTAGTCAAAAGGTCATCTTTTCTTCGGATGCCATTGGGAGAACCCACTCGTCCAATATTCATTTATTCAGAATTAGTGGAGAAGACGCATAGATGATAAATGAGGGAGTCCGGAGCAATTAAGTGGGAGGGCAGTTTTTGAATGAAATTTTCCCCCCAAAATCTCTCCCCATGTGGACAGAAAATTTGGGAGGAAATGTAGTGGGTCATACATCCCCTTTCCTCTCCTATTCTTCTTTCCTCCCACTTTTCTCTCCTCATCCAAACAAAGGAAAAGTTGTTTTTCTCTCCTAGTTTTCCTTCCTCTTTCCTCTCCATCCAAACAAAGCGTTAGTTAAATGCATGCCAATAATAGCAATAAAGATACTGCTCATATCTACAGGTTATCACCAGAAGAAATTGTCAAAATCGAATTAGCAAGACATGTCTGCCTGAGATAAAAATAATCAAATAATGTGAAACTGGGAAAACGGATTGCAGCTAACCTCCTCCCATTTTCTCTGAAGTTCTAATAGTTCTTGGCAGTATGAAAGGCATTCCGCATGAAACACAGCAGCTAAATCTTTTATCAGGGCCTTCCTTTTAATGATACCAACCACTACAATAAAACAAATAAAAAAAAGGCAAGAATCAGCAAAAAAATAAAAAGTCCCTTTAAAAAAATTTACACATCCGTACCTAGAAAAACAAATGATATCCTTTGCTTCCATAATGCATAGTAACCACAGTATTTCAAACAACACGCATGAAAATGAAAATGAAACTTTTATTCATTAATCTATCAGGCAGGACACCCGTGTCTATCAATAACAAGTCTGGAGCACATTCCTAATCCACATATAGCCATATAGCCATTAGCCATAAAGGAAGCCATATACCATACAAATTGATCCAGTCCTGAATTTGGACCCTCTATCACTTGCTCTATTATTCTTTAACCCCACCCCTGCACCCTACCAAATTCTCAGCCACAAATCTCTCTCATCCAAAACACACAAATTTACCACTAAGCTCAGTTAGAATGATTTCATCCACTCTAAAGAGAAAGATCCTTCCTCACAAAGACACATTACCTCATTTTGTCAATCAAACTCATGTAGAAAAAGCTGCTGCCATGTTACTGCAATTTTTTCAGGAATTATACTCGCTAGACAACAAAAACCCTGTTCCACCCAAATCAAAACCCTAAAAGTATGTCAATCTCCACTGCAGTGACCAAATCCCCACAATTTTAGTAAACATAATAACCAAAGTAAACCAAACATGAAGAAAAAATTTTTAAAAGCAGACCATTCACTAGCAACAAGCAGTTATATTGCACAAAGTTTATGAAATTTATTCAAAAATAAAAATAAAAAAGGAAATATGATGAGACAAAAGGGTGATATAGTAATTCATACTTCGACTGGGATCAAACGGTGGAGGAGGAGGAGGAGCTGCTTGGGGTGGAGGATCGCATTCTGACACTGTAGAGGAAGGCTGAACAGGAGGAGAATCTTCACCCATGTGTGCTAACAGGACACTCAATTCACAGCCAATTTTGCAGGACACTGCTCAAACTCATGATTAAATTTATGTTTAGCCGTATAGTACATTATTCCATACAACAACAAAATGCAACCATGAAACATAATTCATGTCCGTTTAAGGTAATATAAACACCTTTGAGTAAACATAGCAGCTAATACAAGGTTGCGGCCCCTCCAACAAAATAGATGAACAAAATGCCTTGAACGATAAGAAAATCTTCTCAGAATTGAACTTATTCCATGCTTCCTGTAATTAACAATCAATCTTTCAGGTGACAATAAAAGCATTTTAAGTATTCAACACTGAGCAATGAGATAAATAACTATTCCTCACAATCAATTAAAAGGCATCAAATTAGAAGAAACTCTTGATAGTCAAATGCTGAGCTTTTCATACAGGGCCCTCATATGTAACTACTATGGCAGTTATATTTGTCCAAAAGTAAAACCTCAATGACTAAGTCAACAATTAATAATTCAATTACTAAAATATGATATGTTGCAAAGGCAGCAACACATCAGCGAAGACCTCATACGAATACAACTATATAAGAAACAACAGATATTAGAATTTTTCCTATCTTGATGTGAACGTTGTCATAAGAAACTTATGTTTTACAGCATCAAAAAGACATGTTATAACTAGAACTCTAAAAGTTAGGAATTAATGAACTTGAGATGCATTTAAAAACTTAAAGGTCATCCAAGATTATGACTTTTGCTGTCTCAGATTACGATTGTTACTTAGCTCAACCCACATTGGCAGGAGTACAAAATATGTAAATAATCGATAATCCAAGTCCACCCTTTCACCAAAACGCTGACATTTTTCAATTTCAAACCCTCACATTTCAAATCACCTCCAGTCTCCTGCAAAGGAGAACCCATCGATGCATTCAGCTTCGTCCCATCAGATGCCTCCTTGAACCTGGAACAACCCAACTAGAATCCCATTTTCTGAAGGCACCAACCAGATCGGCAAAGCCTTCAGGTGAGGCTTTGGCCTCTGAAGTTATGGGATCATTGAGAGGTTGGAGTAGGGGTGATAGAAACGCAGACTGAAGGAAACCAAAACAGATTATGAAGAAACTGAAACATAGTATTAAAGCGACGTTGACGGCTTTAATGGGTTTTAGATTTTTCTTGTATTCAAATATATAAATTTACACTACCAGACGGCCTGCATTAGCAAAAAGACAATGCACGGAAGAAGGGTCATTACCTCTAATCTGAGGACAACGGACTACGATCGGCAACGGCGAGGTACGGTGAAGACGAGGATCTGGATGGTGGAGTGCACGGTTGTCAGAAGGGTGAAGGACAAGACCACTCTGAAGACGAGGTGCCGAGGACGAGTGAGGTGGGCAACGGCGAGGACGGTGAAGAATCTTTAAGGACGATGAGCGGCGACAAGGACGAGGTTGAGGACTTGAGGTCCAGGCGTCCAGCGATGGGGGAAAGTCGGGCGGCTTAGGGGATGAGGAATCTCCAATTAGAAATGTCCAGTGGATGCCGGAGACTTATCACCTAAACGCATAGTTTTGACAAGTCGGGGAAAATCTTGGCCGTTCATTGAACGAAATCCCTGTGGACCAATTCTCAAATTTCTATTCTTTTTAAGAGAAAGTCAATTCACTGATTCTTATACTTTCAACAAGTTTCGATATTTTTTTTTTTTAATGTAAGGCCATGATAAAATCATGCAAAAATCAAAATTAGATAATATCAAAAGTCATAAGGCTTATACAATCAGTAAACGAACTATCAAATAGATAAATATTAAAATTTTCTTTTGAAACTTTGTGTGCCATTAAGTCAGTGCATTCATTAGCTTATTTGTAGACATGCTTAAAGGTTATCTCCTAATTGCGCATGGTGAGATCTCTAATGTTTCTGATAATGTTTGAATAGGGGTGAATATGAGTAGAACTTCGATCGATAAGAGATAAGGCCTCTATAAAATCAGAATAGATATTGACTTTAAAAATCTTAGTATTCCAACAAAAGTTGAGACCTTTCAAGATTCTTATTAGCTCCGCAACAATGCTAGGTTGATAGCCAATATTTTTAAAAAAACCCTTAATTAATTTACCTTTATCATCTCTAATGAGACCACCACAAGCCACAATTCCATTGAGGTTGATAGAATAATTGACATCTAATCTAACTTATCCCGGATTTGGCGAGATCCACTTAGCTGTATTATGAGTGTCATGATTACTCAGAAGATCCAGTTTGGATTGCAACTTCATGTCATTGATGATTTGTTATGTACATGTGAAGGCAATATCATTGTCCAAATTGTTATCCTTATAGTAGGCTTTCTTGCATCTTGCTTTCCATATTTTCCAACAAACTTGTGCAAAGAGTTTCTTCTAAGGCAATCTTCTCGTGGAAATGCTTCTAGCCTCATTTTTCTCATTCTAAATCTTGCATGGAAAGAGAGAAGAAAGTATTAAATTTATTAGGATTTACCAATTTTTCCCAAACCTCTATAGCTGGCCTGCAATCTCTTAAAATATGGATGGAAGAGTCAGGAGAGTTACAACCAAATGGGCAGGTAGATTGCTGAATGTTATTCCTATCAGATGAATTGTTCATGATTTTGAGACGATCCAAACTAGCTTTCCAGAGAAAATATTTTATTTTTTTCATATGTGGGCTATTTTCAAATTATAGACCAAATATATGAGTGATTTTAAGATTTGTGATCCTTTATAGTTTTATAGGCTGATTTGATAGAAAAATTGTCATCAGAAGAAGGTCTCCAAACAAGAATGTTCTTCTCACCATACCAATTAGGAGGTTGGATGTGAGTGATATGTTTGACTACATCATGGTAGAGATATCTTTTTATAATATTGAAGTTCTATCTACCATTAATCTTGCAAAAATCAAAGACTCTAGCATGAAGGATGGGATCAATATTATCAAAGGCATGATATACTAGAGGTTCGGGAAGAGAAGTCCATTTATCATACCAAAAGTAGATGTGATCTTCTTTACTAACTTTCCAACCAATGTGAGATAAGAAGATATCCCAAATTTTGCATATACTACTCCAAATATAGGAGCAAGAATTCAATTTGATCACCATAGGAATAGTAGGTTTTTTGTAATTGTATTTGTCATGAATGATTCACACCCAAAGACAATCAAGTTTAGTAATGAGATCCTAATAGAGCTTTATTATAAAAGTAATATTTTGATTTTTGAGCTTTTTGAGGCTAAGACCCCTATTCTTTTTGTCAGAAGTAACATGATCCCAAGATAGAAGATAGGGTTTTTTGTTTCTATCAATAGAATCTCAAAGAAAGTTTCTAGAGATTTTATCCAATTCGGCCAAGACATTGTCAAGTAAGAGCATGGTTTGCATGGTACAACTAGGGATGGCTACGAGCACAGATTTTATGAGAACAGATTTCCTAACTATATTGAGGTAGTGATTCTTCTAGCTACCTAGACGCGAGTAAGTCTTATCAATAAAGGGTGCAGAGGTAAGTTTAGTAATCCTCTCATGAATAATAGGGATCCTAAGATATTTTGCAAGGTTGCTTGTTAGAGGAATTCCCAATTCATCGCTGATTTGTAAAGCTCTATTAATGTTCACGTTTTTAGAGTAGTAGAGTTTAGATTTTCTAGTGTTGATCTTTTGACCAGAAGCATTACAGAAGTCTATAAGACATTGCTGAACAATATGAACTTATGAGAGAGATGTTTCTGTAAAAAGTAAAAGATCATTAGTGAGAAAGAGCTGAGAAATAGGAGGCCCATTAGGTGTTAGCCTAATTGGCTTCCATTCATTTTTATCAATACTACTAAGTATACAATGACTTAGACGTTCAATACAAAGAACAAAGAGACAAGGAGAAAAAGAATTCGCCTAACAGATGCCACAAGAGAGTGTGAATTCATAAGATAGTTCACCTTTCCAAAGGACCCTTAAGGATGATGTGGAGATAGCAGCATGAATAAGTTTCCTGAAGTAATTATTCATCCTAATGGAGTTGAGGTTATCATCAATGAAGTTCCAAGATAGTCTATCAAAAACTTTTTCAAGATCAACCTTTACTGCCATAAAGCCTTTCTTTCTAGTTTTATTTTATATAGAATGGATAGTTTCTTAAGTGATAATAAAATTGTCACTACTTTATTGTCCTTGAATGAAGTTACTTTGCGTATCACCAATTAAATGATTCATACATTCACGTAGACCACTAGAGAGAATTTTAATGATAATCTTATAACTAACATTATAGAAAGAAATAGGACAGAAGTCTTTCATACTGGTAGGGTAACCTATCTTAGGAATCAAAGTAATATAAGTGTCGTTAATCTCCTTGATAGAATCTGGTTCTCTAAAAGCTCCTTTAACAAGGTTAATAATGCTAACTTTAAGATCATCCTAATAAGAGTAAATAAAGCTAGCATTGATACCATCAGGCCTAGGAGCTTTAAAAGCACCAATAGTAAAGACAGCATTTTTAATTTCATCATCAATCATTTTTCTATACAGAATATGAAGTTGGATGGCAGATAAAGGGGGAAAGCATCTATCAGTGATGAGCTTGGGTCTATCCTCATTATTTTTCTTGAAAAGATTTTCATAGAAAGAGGCAACCATGTTTTTAAGGGTATTTTGATCCTCAATACAATTATCATCATCCACTTTAAGAGATAAATATGATTCCTTTTCCTTCTGATCATAAATGTGGTATGGAAGAATTTAGTGTTTTGATCTCCCCATTTGAGCCACTTACATCTAGACTTGTGGAACCATATCAATTTTTCTTACAAGAGAACTTTGTTATATTCTTTTCAAAGAGATTTTTCCAATTTTCTTAAGAAATAATTATCTTTATGATTCTCGCTTCTGTCAATTCCTTCTAATATTTGTAGAATTTTTTTCTTTTTAGCAGAGATACTACCAATTTTCTCTTTGTTCCATTTAGTTGCAGAATTGACAAAATTTGTTGTACCATTCTTCCAATCATTGTTAGACTAAGCTTCTTTAACCACAAGGTGAAAAGATTCCTCCAGCATCCAAGCAGCGTGACAACGAAAAGCTTTAGAACTAAAATTCTTTGTGGGCTCCTTAAGTAATTGGATTCTAATTAGATGATGATTAGAATCATATCCAATTAGATGAAAGGAATTGGCTTGGGAAAACTTTAGCCACCATTTGGTTTTGCAAAAAGCCCAATCTAGTTGCTCTTTAATGTTGACTTTTTTCTAAGTAAATCTATCTCCAAAGAAGTTTAGTTCAAGAAGATTGGAAGAATCTAAGCATTGTCTGAATTGTTTCATAGATCTCCAATTGACACTTCCCTTACTAATTTTGTCATCACAAGAAAGATAGGAATTAAAATCACCAATGATAAGCTAGAGATCAAAAATATTAAGAGCAAGAAAATTGATAGATTGCTAAAGAAGATCCTAGTAAAGGGGACTAGGATCATCATAACACTAGAGAGTAAAAAAGATTGATTATTTGCTAAAATATTAACCTTGCAGTGCAATAATTAAACATTAGAGTACATATAATCAATGTTAACAAAATCATTATTCCAAAAAAGTCAAATGCTGCCAGCATAACCAGTAGCTTTAATACAGATCCAGTCAGAGAAACCTAACTTTTTAATAATGGAATCAGCTCTAGTTTTGCTAGCTCTAGTCTCAAGCAAAATAAGAATTTGAATATTCAAGGATTTAGTAATTTCTTTTATGCGCTTAAGAAATTTTTTAGCACAAGTACCTCTATAATTCCAGCAAATTAATTCCATAAGTAAAAAAGGAATAGAAAAACTTAAAAGAAGATTAAGCCTCTTGTAATTCCTGTGAGTCCTCAATCTGATCATCACTAAAATTGTCATCTTCATAATCATCATTATGGATTGGTTGATCGCATTCCTCGTCTAGAAGATGATCATCCAGTATATCATCCTTAACACCAACTTGGTCAAGGTCATTAAGTAGATTATCCAGTCTTAATAATTGATTATGAATTTCCATTAGAGAATCCTCATTAAATTGAGTTTTTGGTACAATGCCATGAGAGTAATTTGGGTTAAGAGGTTTCCTAGTATCAATTTGAGAAGAAGAAGAATTATGATGAATTTCTGGATCTAAAATTTCCCCTCCAGAATTTGAATTGTTCTAGATTTTAAGATTAAGTGAGAAAATAATTCCTATTGCAGCTTCCCTAATGTTGTTTCCAGGCCCAATTTCAATGCTATTTTCGATCATGATCTTGCTACATGAGACCAAGTCTCTTTTATTACCTTTAATCATGTTATGTACTTGTTTGGAGGCCCTATTATTAGCTTAATATACTAACTTCCCTTGCCTTCATTTTTGTCCAAGTTAACCTCACTTAGCCTAATCCATTTGAATGTTGGCCCAATATTATAGTTAGTTACTTAGATTTCCTCCTTATTTCATGTCTTAGCCTTAGCATTCTCATCAGTTTCCTCAATTTCCTTTGACCAAGATCTCTTAGCTCC